TCCTCCTTATTCCTCTTTCTCTATCCTCTTCTCATCTGTTTAATTATTAAATGAACAATTACCACGGACCGTTACTCTGCAACATTAAAATAAGACATATTCATTTGTAAGGGTCGTTGCATTACCTCCCTGTTTTTAATGTACTACATCTCTCTAATTCTTTAATGCACACCTCGTAATCATGAAGAAGAGTATATCCAATTAATTCAATTAGCAATTAAACGGACATAGACTTTATAAAAATATTGGTTTCTTTTAAAAAGAAAAAAAAAAAATCTTACTCAGGCCCTTTTTCTTCAGCTCTCTTTCTCTTTCTTCTTATTCGGAGTTGCCCTTTTGCCTCTTTTCTTCTTGTTCCTCTTGTATGTATGAAAATTCATGCGTATTCCAAATCGCACTCCCTCCCCTAAGCGCGTGCGGCTCTTTCTGGTGAATCGAAGCGGGTGGGACCATTGTGAATGTGTGGAGCTTTAAGCATGGCCTGTATATGGCCTTGTTGGGTGCGTCTAACCACACTAATCCACCTGTTCTCTTCGATCGTGCTTTTTATCCCGGGGACTAATATCCCTTAAACCCCTACCTAGTCAAAGGCAAAGATTCTGGTTTAAATGTTAGTTGGTTCATAGGCATTCTGGTAGATTAATCTCATGTACCTTATTCAAAACTGATGACAGTACCAAGATTCATTACTCCCATAGTCAAATTTATATGCAATCCGGCTTAGCTTAGCTTTGCTTAAACTATCACCCCTCCAGATTCATCTTATGGGTGGATCCGATCCTGTTTTGGGAATCAATAATCTTTTTCAGAATTGACTTAAAAGTCGTGTGTCTCTGTCTATATAAGCCCTATGAGTTTATAGTTACAGGTATGTATGCCTTACAAAAAAAAAAAAAAAAAAAAAAAAACTGGTCTGGTGACAGATATTATTTTGTAATAATTCTTTCTATCTATCTTTGTGAATGGTTAATAAGAAAGGAAATCTTTCCTGATTCTGTTGTTTCTCCCTTATTTTGGTCTTGTCCCAAAAAGACTCGTTTCATTTCCACACCTGCCGAGGCCAATAATAAAACAAAAAACCAAAAGGACAGGACAGACATTTTTTTTTTTGTATTTCTGGCCTTTAAACCGTAACTCTGCAACCCATTTCATGTCCCCCAACAACCACATCACAATAATAATAATAATTGTAGCAACATCGGGTCATTTACTCTATTGCGCACGACAACTCTTTTTTTTTTTTTTTTTTTTTTTTTTACTTTTATGAATGAATATGACGATATTGGCCCTCTTTCTCTTACTTCACGCGGGTTCTTTATAACCGTTCCGTTTGAGACAAATTTTAATATCAAAATGTAACTTTTTGTAATATAATCTTGGTAAATATGGTAATATCAATCACCATACACTTTTTTTAGCTTAGGAAAATATAATAAAAATAAAAGTATCATGATTCTTGCTTGCGCCTTTTTTTTTTTATTACTATTATTATTTTTCATGATTTTTTTCAATAACATTAGCTCATTATTACTTTTTTTTTTGTCAAACAAAGAGAGTTAATGTAGGTGTAGTGTAATTTTTTTTTTCCTTCAGGAGTATTAACGACATTAAGTTTTTCATATAAATTCCTTCATTTCTCTATAATCCATGAAAACTTGTATCTGTACAAAAGCAATTCAATTAATTGCTTTGCTTGTCAATTCTCTCCTCCCCACAATTACTCGATTTCCCATCTTTTTGGGAACGTTGGCCTTTCCCTCCCTCCGTTACATGATCACCTAATATTAAATGTATATTAACTATCTATAGTAACTAATGTAGTTTTAAACGACTGTCATATAGAGGAAAAGGCTTTCACCGAGATACAGGTTTATATAGTACTATATATTTTTCAGATAAGCGAATTAAAAAAAAATAGTCCATTTTTTTTGACCTGATCAAAGGTTTTGTTTTTTTTTTGTTTTTTTTTTGTTTTTTTTTTGTTTTTTCCCGCCTAAATAATTGTCATTTCTCTCCCTATTTTCGGTCAGTCTATTTTCTTTTTATGCTAATCTAAATACTATAAGTTAATATCGCAATTTCCCATTATAAGTTTAAAAGCTTGTATTTCAATGCTTATCTACTAGCAAATAAACATAATGGCTGTTCATTGCCTTCTTTTTTTTTTCCGCTATTTCTTTGCCGTATACTTTTTTTTTTTACAGTTAAAGGCATATCTAATATCAATCCTATGTTCTCTTCTTCATCGGCGATCCCGAAATTCATGCTATCAATAAAAAAAAAATAGAATTGACAAGTTATCTTTTTTTATATACCTTATCATGTTATAATCTTCAATTAAAAAAATATTTTATCACTTTCCTGCTTTTTCTGTATCATTACAATCTTTGGTCTTTTGTCTTGTGAAGCTTTAATTACCCCAGATTTTGGTTTTTTAGAGGGGGGTATTTAGGCGCGCGCACACACAATCATCTATATTTTTGTTGTTGCATTTTCTATATTTTAACGTTTTATGGATACTCAAAATACTGAAGTTGTAACAATTCACTAATGTCATTATAAAAACTTACTGATAAGCACTGTTTTTTTTTTTTTTGGAGAAGTTTTTGAACAATCGGCCTTTCTTGATATTTTCATTCTTCTTCAAAAAAAAAAAAATAACAAAGAAAAAGCACAAAAGTCAGGTTAATATCTTGTATTCAGATTTTATACGATGAGCAAGTAATATGAAACTGCTCCAGATTTTTGCTCCGTGGAGTTTGTATGCTTATCATCCGCAAATGTTTCTTGACCTTCTCTCCTTCCGTCTCTCATCATCTCCATGGTCTTCCTCGGGAATTCCGTCATTTGTCGTGATTTAATTTGTTCTCTTTTAAATTTCTTATTATTTTTTTTATGAAACGCCATTTGCTTGAAATTCCATGTAATTTCCAGTGTATATAAGTTAGCCAATTATCAAATATATATAAGCTTATATAGTGTAAATATTCCAAACGATTCTTCTATGAACAAAATTTCTTTTCTCCTTCGAGTCCTAAAGATTAACATGTGCCATAAACTCCTTAGTCCGTATTGACTCAAATATATTTATATATATTTATATATATATGATTACTGTTAATGCTACTATTTCTATCATTGACCTATCAGGGCGTGTTACAAATGACCTTTAAAATAAACCTTTTTCATAATCTTATTTCTATAGAATATCTTTGGTCACGATGGTGGGGTCAAAGAAAGAACTTGAAACCCATTGGATGACCTTGGCGCTATGGCCACTCAATTCATGTCCTGCGGTCTAGAAAGAATATTTCTAACTTGTTTTTTTTAAAGTAAAATAATATGAAAAAAAAAAATTTAATCATCAATCAATCGATTCAATATGCTCTGCTCATGCCTTCTTTTTTTTTTTTTTTCTTCTTCTTCTTTTTTTCTTAACTGCAATTCTAGAATGTAATTTTTTTAGTAAATGATTTAGGTCTATTTGTAATTTGCTTCTGTTATGCTATGATACTTAATAATCTAATCGGTTATACTGCTTAGTCTGATATGGCATGTGTGCACTCGAGTTTTTTTTTTTTTTTTCTTTGGGACCTCTTCTACTTTTGCGTTTTATTGCGGAGATATCCGTTTGTCCAGTCATTTCTCTTTTTTTTTTTTTTTTCCTAAAAAATTAAATAGGAGAGAGAGGGGGGAAGGGTCATGTCAATTCAATGGCATAATGATTCTTAACTTTTAAAGATCAACAGATGTTAAGGTTGCTCTGTGATTGTATGTGAAGTTTTGTGTGTTTGTTATCATATCGGGCCAAAGTGTTGTGGGGGGTTCTATTTTTTTTTTTTTTTTTTTCGGTTAAACCCCCTTAAAGAGAATAAACTTGTTAAACGTGCTGTGAGATGTGATAATATATATATATATATATACACCTTTTAAATAGCTTTCACAAAAAAATGTTTTTAATTAATGTTTACTTGTAAATAACCTTCAACTTATTTGAATAACTTAAATTATTAAAATTAATAAGTAAGACAAACTTATCTAAGTCAAAATTAAAGATCTGGTGGGTAAGGGTTTTTTATTACCTTGACAACTACAACTACAACAACAACAACAATAGTAGCAGTAGTAGTAACAAGTCAAAAAAACTCAAAATCCAATGAGGTCATCACTTTCATCAACTTTTATTTTTGATTTTTTATTTAAAAATAAAAGATTGTTCAAAGAAATCAAATAAAGAAGAGAATCAAAAAGGTTTCTATTTTAAGCAATAATTTTTTTTTTTGATATTTAACTTCTTTTATATATATCTATTGTTTTTATTTTTTTTTTTTTTTAAAAAAAATAAACTACAACTTCATTCATTTATTTCTTTTAATTAATGGTCTTAATTTTTTGGTGGCTGTGATTTTGTCCATTTTACCGAAAATAACCAAATAAAAAAAAAAACAAAAATAACAATAGCCTGCCTTTCTTTAAACTAATTTTTTTTTATTTTTATTTTTCCCTCTTGTCGTATCCAAAGATTCATTTAATAAAAAAAACAAATACATTTGAATTTGATTTCTTTTTTTATTAAATCAATATATATTTGATTGATAAAAAAAAAAAAAAGTTCGTCTTTCTCCAGACTGTTCTTACCTTTTTTTTATTTATTTTTTATTTATTTTTTATTTATTTTTTATATTTTTGGTACGCCTCATTAAAAATCCTTCCCAATAGCAGCCTCATTTAATTTCTCTGCAAAGTTTTTTTTTTTTTTTTTTTTTTTTTTTTTTTTTGTCAGCATCTTCATCACCATTATTATCATCATCACAAATACATCAAATAACCAACAATCAAATCCGGCTTTTTCTTTCCTCCCATATGAGTCAAAGTCGCTTTTCTTCCTCTCCCGGTATTGATATCAAAACTACACCTCTATTTCTTTTCCGGTTCCTTGAATAATGAGGAGTGTATCCATAGGGATACGACCACAGGTAATACTGTTTGTCTTTCTGACAATGGTCCTATCCTTGGTCATCCTTGCTCTCACAACCGTATGTTTTTTGCTTATTATTTTTATTTCTCTTATATTCTAATATAAATTTTTCTTCTATCTTTTTTTTTTTTTTAGTCATTATACTCCAGCAATTTTATTCTAAACTTGCGAACTGAACGTCTTCAGGTAGTCTCTTCGCTTAAGTCGGCCCAGGTTCAACAAGCCTTTTCAACCATCTACTACCAAGCATACCTCATGTCAACGCGTGACCAACTCACCCTGGCTATGGCTCGCTACCGCGCAGGAAATAATACTTTGGAAAACTGGGACAGCGTCAGCTCTTATTTCAACTATACCTTCAGTGCTTCCACCCTTGTCGTGGCCTCAGCCATTTACGATACCTCCTACAACATGCTCTTTTTCAAATCGAACGACTCCGTTTCTTACAGCAGTTATAACCAAGCACTGTTCCCCACACGCAAAGATTTTGACCAACTCACCGATGAAAGCTCCAGCAGTAGTTCTTCAGGCCTTCTCAACAGCCCTAAACTTAACGGAACAACTTACCTTATGACTCTCACTTTCCCTATCATGGGCAACTCTTCTTTCTTTGTTGACTCGGCAAAACTTTACGGATTCATTTCTATTTTAGCTACAACCACATCTCTAAAGTCCATCATTGAAGATAGAACTGGCCTGGAAAACGGCGGCCTCATGTACTTTATCAGTATCCCAAACAGCAGCTATGTCTCCTCTTCAACAACAACTGTCCTAACTGCTGCAACTACAGATTCTTCAGATACAGTCACTTGGCCATCCATCACTTCTACCTTTAATCTTGCTTCTTCATCTTTAATACCCTTAGAGGTGACATCTTCTTCTTCTTCATCGTCATCGTCATCGTCTTCGTCATTGTCATTATCATCATCTTCATCATCGTCTTCACCATCACCGTCACCATCACAATCACCATCTTCTCCATCCTCTTCACAAGTTTCTCAAACTACAACTGTGGCTCACTCAAACTCGACTATTAGTTCGGTCCCTTCTTCTGTAACATCAACCTATTCACGATCCTCTACTTCCCCCGCACTAAACCAACAACCCAGTGATGTAAGCGTTCTTTTGGACAGCATGAAAACTCTTTCTGAGTCTCAGGTTTCTTTATACCCTTCTCAGAGCTCTAGGATTTTTGCTCGCCAAAATACCATAGATTACAGTAGCTCAAACGACTCAGAATCAGACAATGACACCTATTTGGATGATCTACCAGAATGGTCTTTTGAGCTGCTCCTACCCGTCACTGGCCAAACTTACTTGTTGGGTTCTCAACAGGGACAACTCCCACTTGTCACCATTCCAGCTCTTTACCGTGCAGTTTCTTCAAAAAATGGCGGCTCTCTCCTAAAAACCTCAGTCATGAACGAAACAAAAGTTGCTGTGGGCTATGCCCGTGTTGAAAACCCATTGGCTTCCTGGTATGTAATCATATCAGAGCCTTTATCTTCTGTGTTTTCTCCAGTATGGAAAATCCGCAACGTTTTCCTCGCTGTAGGACTTGGTGCTTTAGGCGTGCTTTCCATCATTGTCATTTTTCTTGTCAACAAAGGCGTCCAACCCATTTACCGTCTTAAGCAAGCTGCAGAGGAAACAACTACATACTTTCACGAAATCAGTCCTGAAGAGTCTCACAAGGGCCCTCTACCTCCTCCTTCTGCAACAATTCCAATTCGCCATCATTCAACCAAACTAAAAAAACTCACTAAGCCAAAATCATCTCGTATCAAGTCTTTTTTTTTCAAACTTTCCCACCGCCGCAGCCCCTCATCATTATCTACCATAACCCTCAGTGAGCCTTTGGAACAAAAACAAGAACAAGAAAAGGCTGGTCCCAAACTTGAAGATACTATTCATTCCACATCCCAAGAGTCATCATCCGAGGCATCATCCAATCAACTAAGCAAATCGAGTGAGAGCACAATCAATAAAAATATCATTACCAAAATATCAACAAATGAAAAAAATGATTTAGGCATACAGCCAGATCTTAAGGAAATTGATATCCTGCAGCCCCAAACAAAAAATGTACATATAACGGAAAGTGGTTGTGAGGAAAAAACTTCAGATGCTTCACCCTCAGATTCTATTGCAACCGCAGAAGCTGCTGTGGCAGCGGCAACAGCGTCAGCAGCAACTGCAGCAGCTCAAAAACGCATGGTTGTTCCGCCCCATGTCAAAATAAAAAAACCAAAGTATCTCACCGATGAGCTTGTTTCTTTACAATACTCATTCAACCGCATGGCTGATGAGTTGGAAAAACAATACCTTCATCTCGAGGATATGGTGCGCGAACGCACCAAAGAGCTCGAATCAGCTCGCATACAAGCAGAAAATGCAAACGAGGCAAAGTCTCAATTTATTGCCAACATTACACATGAGCTACGTACTCCCCTTAACGGTATTCTGGGTATGACTGCTGTCTCACTCACAGAAAATGACCCTGCAAAAGTTAAACGATCTCTCAAGGTTATTTCAAAGTCTGGTGAAGTGTTATTGCATCTCATCAATGACCTTCTCACTTTTTCCAAAAACCAAGTGGGCAATGTTACTCTTGACCAGCGCGAGTTCATGCTTGCAGAAATTGTCCAGAGCGTTCGCAAGGCCTACACCAAACGGCCAAATAATCGCAAACATGTGGAGCTCGAATTTAACTTTGCTATGCCAGAACTCAACAATGTTGTTTTCTTGGGCGATTGTGGTCGAATCACACATGTCATTTTAAACATCTTTCATAATAGTTTGAAGTTTGCTCCAGACGCAGGTGCCGTCAAAATCAACTTCAACTGCGTTCAGCTTAACAACAATCCTGTTAATAGCAATGCACCTCTTCCTTTGGATAAAACGGGCAGCCAGGTTGATATCATTGATACAACGTGCAGCCAGCTTAACACCGACTATATGCATTTTAGATCTCCTTCATCTTCCTCCACTTCCTCCTCTCCACCACCTAGACCAAGACTTCCTCCAGTTATCACATCATTGCAAACATCTCTAGATAATCACTCTGATTTGGATTCCAGAGAAAGAACTGCATCATTGCGGACCCAAGACTCATCTTACCTATCTGCTCTCGCTAGTCCAGACTCGCCATCGTCACAAAAAGCTGCTCCCTGGGGGACAACTGCTACCACGTCTAGCGAAAATTTTGACTTGCCTTCTGGAATGTATACTCCTGCATCAGGACCAACACATCTCCATACCCAGAGCTTTTCATCTAATATGAGCTCGAATAACAACAGCAATAGCAACAATAGCAATATTCTTAGTTTGCCTCATTTAGCAAATCCTGGCAGCCGAAATACTTTGATAACCTTCAATAACCCCAACAGCTGTATTCTGGAAATTCAAGTAATTGACCAAGGACCTGGTATTAACGAATCCATTTTGGAACATGTTTTTGAGCCATTTGTTCAAGAAGACCAGGCTCTTTCTCGCCGCTATGGTGGTGCCGGTCTGGGCCTATCCATCTGCAAGCAACTAGTCGAGCTCATGGGTGGTAACATTTCATTAAAGAATTCCTCCGACGGACTTGTCGTATCTTTTCAAATCCCTCTTTATCTTATTCGCATATTTTCACAAGTCCCGCACTATACATTTGTATTTGCAACTGATGCCATTGGTGTCCAGAAATACCCAAAGCAACTAAATCTTCTTTCAATTGTTCAGCAGCCTTCTACACCTAACGTGCCTGATCACTACATTTATGATCCTGGCACACCTTATGATGAGCGTGCGCAGTACTTTTCTGTCAAAACTATGCCACCGACTATTCCCATCCATCAAAAGGAAAAGCTCAGGGAACAACAAGAACAACATAAGCAGTTAATTCAAAATCAACAGCAAGAACTGTACAGACAAAGAACAAACAATATATTGGAACCAAAAGCCGAAGTTGCAGAGGACGCCTCAGAGTATGATCAAAAAGTGATTAGGGTCGAAACCCGACCTCGTCAACATTCACTTACCATAGAAATTCCTCCTGCCAAACCGCTTACTAAAACAAGAATTATTCAAAATGATATTCACACAGCTGCTGCTTCATCACTATTTAATTTCAAGCTGAAGCGCAATTCTAAAAAGCAGCCACAGCTTCAACAACAAATCCCACAGCCCAGTTCATACTTTGAACCTCAGCCTCATGCAAGCACATTGGGAACTGAATCTGTGTACCTAAGAGCAATGGAGTACCTAAAGAGTGGTAATGCACCGACCAACCTCGAAAGCCTATCGCTCTCAACCCCTGGTGGAGACCAAACAATGTCCAACATACCTACTCCTTTTTTCGAAATGCCTCTTCCAACCCTTAGCAGCCTTGAAAGTGCAAGCAAGCCAGTGACCCCGGGAAGTACCAACGGCACTATTCGCGTTGCAGTCGGAAGCGTTGCGGGTTCCAATTCTGGCAACGCAGGTAGTACAAGCATTGGTGGAAATACAAGTGCGCCTTCTTCATCTGGTAATGCTCAAATTGGAGGAACTGGGACGTCAAGCACGACACTCAGTGCTCTTGGTAGCCCAACATCAGCTACAGCCACAAATGTGACGAGCTCTGGTGGCGGGAAAAGTACGGTGAGTGGCAGTAGTGTTACCACACCAGGTAGTGGGGGTGGTGGAAATGGTAATGGTGGGTCAGGAGCAACACATCTTGCACCAATATCCATCACAGCACGGATTTTAGTTGCGGAAGACAATCTCATCAACCAAGACATTATCCGGCGAATGCTGCGGTTAGAGGGCGTGAAGGATATTGACATGGCGATGAATGGTGAACAGGCGGTGTTACGGATAGAGGATGCGATTCGTGCAGGAATCCACTACGATATTGTGTTTTTGGACGTGCAGATGCCGCGCATGGATGGTCTTGAGGCGGCGCGCATTATCCGCTCGCAGCTAGGATACCCGTACCCAATTGTTGCGCTTACTGCTTATGCCGACGATGACAATGCACGTCAGTGCTATGATGCCGGGATGAGTGATTTCTTGGAAAAACCAGTCAATCGTGAAAGACTGCGTGAGGTGCTTGTACAATACTGTCCTACAGATGCTCTTCATGAAGCTTTAATGCCCACGGGTGGGTTTGATTCATTGTTGAATCCACCAACAACTCCGTTAAGCTAAACGCTTAGCAAACATTTACGTACACATACAAGAAAAAAAAAATGATTACGAAATTTTTTTAATGACCTTTATTATCTTCGTTTTTTTTTTTTGATATACATAATTTATAGATGATGTTTCAACCTTTTTTTAGTTTTATAATTGTACAATACTATTTATTCTTTTACAAACATTGATTGAACTTAAGATCCACTTTGATGATGGTCCCCCATATATTGAAGTTATATTAAATTAAATTACAATAAACATTACTAATGATTACATAACCACAAAGATTAAATTTTTACATTGTCTCGTAGATTCTAAGAGTTTTTAAAATTTTCAAAGTTTTCAAGGGAAACTTTGAGCACCTTGAAGAGTCAAAAATATCTAAAACTTTTACAAGACCTTTAAGATCATCGAAATTTTGAATCTCAAGACAAGGTGACTACGATTTTACAAAGTTCGAAAGATGGAAGAAATTTGGGTTTTTTTTGTCTTTTTTGAAATACACACAATATACAACACATTAGAGAACCCACCAACATGAAATGATTTTTTTTTTTTTAAACTGAGACACAAAAAAGAGTATAGAAATAGTACAAAATCTTGTATAGGGGGCGAAATCGTTTATTTCAACTTCTTCTTAGGTCTGAGCTGGTTGGTGTGGCCACACTTTCTCTTTCTGCAGTTGGTAGCACGAGGAGGAAGACGGGCGTAGCACTTGCGGCAAATAGACTTCTCGCAGTTGAACTTGGAAGCAAGAGCCTTAAGAGAGGGCTCAATGACACCACCACGGAGACGGAGAACCAAGTGGAGAGTAGACTCCTTCTGGATATTGTAGTCACTGAGGGTGCGGCCGTCCTCAAGCTGCTTGCCGGCGAAAATCAGGCGCTGTTGGTCTGGGGGAATACCCTCCTTGTCCTGAATCTTGGACTTGACATTGTCAATGGTGTCGGAAGACTCAACCTCAAGGGTGATGGCTATTTAAATGTTAGAAAAAGTTTTTTCTTCAATCATATGTGCGCTCGTCTGTAAGTACTAATCGAAAGGTTTCAACAAAGGTAATGTACAACAACCATCTACAGGTATTGGGTAATCCTCATTATTGAGATGTATCTTAAAATCAAGTATCTTATTTCTTTGCTAACTGTTACATATTTTTATTGTCGAAGTGAAAACTGGGCATGTATCATGTCGATTTATTAAACTGTTGAAACAATTTTTTTTTTCCTTCTTTCATATTCTTCTTCCTTTCAAGATCGAGGCGAACATTTTAATTCAGACAAAAGACTTCTATTCGAATTTTACTTACTCTTGCCGGTCAAGGTCTTGACGAAAATCTGCATGGTGCCTGTTTATGTATGTTGAGTGACTTGGACAGGGTCGACAACGGAAAAGGGAAAAAAAAGAGGGAAAAAAGAGAAAAGAGAAGAGGGAGAGAGAAGGAGGGGGAAGAGAGAGGCAAGCTAGAGTGGGTGCGTGACTGGCGGTGTCTCTGTGTATGTGTGGCCCTTTGCGGTTATGACAAGAAGGTACACACACACACACATAATATAATTATAAGTCACATGATCATATTTGCGCGTGGCAGACAATGAAAAATTTTTCTTTGCGCGTAGAGCCGACAAGCATTTAAATTTAAAATTACATAAAGATTAGATAATATGTTACATTTATTTACTAAAAAAGTTTTCACAGAAATAGGAAGAGGATTTGTTACAAGTATGAGGAAATTCGAGAAAATAAAAGTTGTGTTGTTACAAGTTTACTGGGCTCAATTTTTCATACACTCCATTCTAAAAGTTTTTACAATTTGTAACTGATGCGTAATTACCAGAACGATGAATTTAACTATTCTAGTAGGGCTAAACCCTAAAAAATATAAGTTTAATATTATTGAAAAAAATTTTTTCTCCTCCCCTTTCTTCTCTTTTATTTTTTATTTTTTTTAAATTTTTTTTAGTTTTTATCAGTTGTGCCCTTCTATTGAGATTTCCCCAGAAAATCTGTCCTTATCGGGATAAAACAGTTTTTTGGCATTTTTCTTTCTTTCTATAATTGGTTATTGTAATGCTCCCATTGATCAATATAATTTTTTTTATATCCCCTTTTTTTTTTTTTTTATAATAATTCACTTGAAAAATTTTTTTCTTGTAAATTACTGTAACTAGTAATTAATGCTTTTGTTTTTTTGGTTATTTTAACTGTGCCCTATTGTTAACATTTTTTCTAAATAATAAATGTTGACGGAATTCTGTAACCTAGATTATAAAATTTTAATTTAACCTAGAAACGATTAATACACTAAATCTATTAAAATCTTACCCGATACTATTAAGATACATATATATATATATATTTTTAATCTTCGTTCCATGGCTTTGTTTTCTTTTAAACAAGATCCTAAATAAAAGTACTAAGGCTTGCCAACTGTAACACATTCTGATCATGGGCGGAGATCCAAAACTTAGTATTTACGATTTTCTACTTTCTACACGATTCAGTGTTATCCAGAGCCTCATTGCCTAGGCGAAATGACAAAAACAACCTTCCTTTTCGGACCAACTTGTTCAAGTATACATTTTGATGGTAAAAACCAAAATAAAATCTACTGATTTTTTCCCCTAATATTATTCAACTATATACAAAGTGCCGCAAGTTTTTTTTTTTTCATAATAAATTTATAAATATCAATAGTAAGTTTTTAAAATTCATACTTATAAATATTCAAATACACATATTGCACAATAATTTACAACATAGAAATTTTAATATAAAAGATGGTAGTGAAACAAGTGTGCTTGTTTGGTCAAAAGAGGAAATATAGGTGTGAATTACACACAACAACAAGTGGATTTCATCTCTTTTTCACTTTTTGGTAACGCTGCCTCGTGGTATTTACAGTATACATACAGAATATTACATTAGAATGTTGAAGCTTCACGGAAAGACAAAAAAAAAAATCAGGCAACTTTTTTTCTTTCCCTGATGAAGTATTTTCAGGCAGACCTCTGCATTTGATGCGAAATCTTATTTCAAATGTATTTCTCTTATCCTCGGTAAATACTAGAGTCTATTTCAAAGAAGATGAATGGCTAAGTATTATTTAATAATGATAAACTTCTTTTAATATTCTTCATTTGTATTTTTTTTCCTTTTATGAATTTTTAAATACCCTTGAAAATCCCTGTTTTTTTTCACCTTTTTTTTTTTTTTTCTTTTTCCTTTTTTTTTCATGTCTAGTTTTATTTAACATCTAAATTTTTTCTTTCTGGCAACTGTTCTAATGCTGCTATTTCAAATTCTTTCCCTAAATTAACTTTCGGTAGCTCAATGCTTGCTTATTCTCTATTGAGAAATATATTTTCTGCAGAAGATTATAAACGACGTTAAACTTTTGAAATTTTGAAATATCTTTTTTAGTAGCAATAAGATCTTCAAAAAATTCAACAGATCTTCTTTTTTCAGGATATCCAGTGGCAAATATTTTATATCAAATTTTAAATTTTTATTTTGAAGTTTTCATTTCTATTATTCTAAATTGGTTTTAAAACAAATTCACGTCCAATATTTTGTTTTTTTCCCCCTATTTTACTCATCTATTATTTGTATCCAAATAATAAGTCGGCATTAAAAATTTTGGATACTTACTCAGCTTTATTGACTAAAAATCTATTGGGAAAACTATAAATAATCAAGCTAATTTCTACAACTTATTTCAGTTTATTTCAAAAAAAAAAAAAAAAAAAAAAATTCAAAAAAAAAGAACTTAATTTTAAATATCAAAATTTTAACGAAATTTTCATTTGCATCCCATATCACAACTGCAGAGCATTATCAGCAGAGCATCGCCAGCATCGCCATCATCATCGCACAAGTTTGTTTTTTGATCGAGGTCCAAACAATAAACGGCTTTTTTTATTATTATTAATCTACAATACCTTAAACACATAACTGGCTAATCTGTTACATAACAAACTTATTACACTCTGCTTTAGTTACAATTTGGAGCAGTAATTGCCTCACAACTGACAGCCACATCAAATCAAACAAACACTAATATCTCATCATTGTCTTAAAAATGCAGCATATGCTGACAATTTTTGCATTGTCATCCTTAGTCCTCATTTATTTAGAATGCTATATGGAGGTACTGATAGGCTGGATTATTCTTTTCATTTTGGCTAGAATTCTATAAATGAGTTTGGTCAAATTATTTTTGCATCTTATTTTTTTATTTTTATAAAAGAATTAAATCCACAAACGCTGTCAGGCAAATCAATAACCAAGTAAGGGTCTTTGTTTGCAAATAAATAGAATCTCCACTATTTTTATTCTGGTTTATGCTTGATGATGCGGTAACAAACCCTGAGGTTTTTGTCGCAGAGGTACCGGTTGAGGATGCAGATTGTTGAGCCGAAGTTGTCGTAGCACTGGTAACTAAAACTCCTTGATTGTTATATTGACCTGTCAATGGCTGAATCGACCATTCTATCTCACTCGAAAGACCAGAACTATACTCAAAAGATCCAGTGATAGTATATCCATTTTGAATATAGGTGATAGGGTTAATTGTTGCTGATGAGGCATCCTTACTGCTTGTTGTAGTTGTAACAGCTTCTGAGCCCAGCTGACAGCTTACCCCGCAAATCAAACATGCCAGAAAAACGAATTTAAAAAAGGAAATCAGCTTGATCATCATAATGTGAAATAATAATTGAATGTATATATATAAAAATAAGAAAAAAAATCAGTTATTGAAATGTGAGAGTTTTAAAAAAGAGGGAAAAGTTGAAATATATATAAATGAAAAAAAAAATGAAAAAAAATGAAAAAAAAGGAAAAATAATAGCATAAACATGGTGTAAAAAATGGCATTAAAATTATATTTCTGCATAAAAACAAAGTTTGCATATAAAAGACGTTTCTTGTTAAACAAAATATTTCATTATAATTTGCCAATTCATAACAATAAAATACTTATTAAAGCAACAATCCCAGCAAAAAATGTACTAGACTTTTGTGATACCCCTCCCGTTGCAATTGCAACTGTAGGTAGCCCTTGAGAAGTCAAATTGGAATTTACAGGAGAAGGAAGAGAATCAGAAATTTCCCCATCAGACAATGGTGTTGATAAAATAGAGCTAGATTCAGGGAAAATGGCTTCAGTAACACCTGTTGGGGATGCAATAGGGTCTGATTGATAAATTGGTACTGAGTCACTTTCTATCTCAATTTCACTGCTTGACAAGGGCCCTTCGGAAATTGTTTCGGGTTCTTCCAAATTAGTGGCTTCGTTCAATTGTCTTTGATAGACACGGTTGTTGTAAGCTTTGGGATTGTTGGTCTCTATACCATCAAATTCTGCAACCTCTAAAGCGGCGGTATCTATAGGTAAAATTGAATAAAATCTTTTCGTGGTAATTGGACTTTCAAATTGATTAAATTGAGCACTAGACATGGCTTGAGAACCAGAAGGTATAGTTTCAGTTTCTGAAGAAAGTGGGAAAGAATATAATAAATTTTGAACTGAGTGTTTTGTAGATTTAATTGATAATCTCATATCTGATTCAGAGTAATCTCCTTTTAAATCTACTATTGGGGTTCCTATTGGCAATATAGAAAATATTTCTTCTGTTTCAGTTGTCGTCACACGACTAGGAGACTGTTCTGTTTTCTTTACGCTAGAAGAAACTACTGAAGTACTTTTTGATGTTTTAGACGGAACATTTAAATTGGAATGAGAGGCTGTAGAGGCACCAAGTGTATCAATAGAAGTTTTTTGAGTGATTGTTGGACTGACGGATCGCAAATTAAAACTGCTAGAAAGTGGTAATGTGCTAGTATCCAAAGTTTTAACTGAACTTCCTTCCACCAGAGTGTTTACACTTTTATCTTGGTAGGGTGTTGTTGTTTCTGCAGAAGCAGTTACTAAAGAGAATAAAACAGCTAAAAGGTAAATTTGGGACAAATTAATATTGACCATTATGAAATAAAAGAAATACATATGCTTTATATTTATGAAATATAATAACACAAAAAGAAGTAAATAAATGAATAAAAATGAACATATATATATATATATTTACTCATTTGAAATATACATCTCAGATATAACTATTAAAGTACATCTTTCAGATCCAATAGCAATATAAAAATTTGCTTTTTTCAAGTACAATGTAAAACATTCTACAGCGAGTGCCATACTTACCAAAAAAAAAAAAAGACAAATCTACCACAGAAAAGCTTGATACAGCTATTAGCTAGTAATTTTGATATGATGCATCATAGCAGAAATTTTCAAGGAACAACATGTTTCTTGGCCTTAAAACCTTTTTTATAAATCAATTATCCACCAAAATTTGGAAGTTCCCATGTAAGTTTAAAAACTAACAGTTACATTCAGCTGGTTTGAGTTTTTCAAATGCGGTATTTTCAATATTAGATACTGGTTCACTATTGAAATATCATTTTGGAAACCAAATCTAATCTAATAAGCACATACATATGTAGTTTAAAATCAATTTATCCTATAATGACTTCTTTATCAGGAAATAGTCAGATTTTCACTACAGGCTAAATCTTGGCCCTAGTGATTTGATTAAATATATTTAAATTATACTAATAATATTACACCTTCATAACTTTAAACTCAATGGTAAACTATATTTTAAAATCATTTTTAGATCGATCATGAATCTGAAAAATAAGCTTCTAAGTTCATATGCAATGTTTAACATAGTCCTTTTGACAAAACGGATATGATATTCTTGTATTGCAATATCAATATAAATAAATAAGAGTGCAATTTACTGACTTTATCTTTTCAATTAAGTGATGATGACAGTAGTCAAGAGAAGCCTTATATAATGGAATAAAGAAACGTTAAATAGACAACGTTTGACAGAAAAAATGGTATGCAAACAAGAATCATCGGGTTAGGGTCTCAAAAAAAACATATCTTGGGATACAATTCTCCTACACTCTAATTCCCCACGTTCTGTTACCAAAAATTACCTAAAATAAGTGGTACCTTACTGGATGGTAGTATGGCTTACTCATTTAAATTAAAAAATTTTATATCGAAATATACCCCAAATCGATACTTAATCGTAAAAGAAACCAATATTAATATATCACTTATTTCTAATGACCACTACTGTTGATTCAATCTCCGTAAAAAGAACTACCGATGCTTTAGAGGCCCAGGAGACAAAACGCCAGAAACCTTCAGATTCTACAAATAATGAATCAATAATACCAATTAAAACTGATGGGCAAAGGCTTCGATGCCTTTATATTTTAACTCATAAAGGCGGAAGACAGTGTAATATGACTAGAAGAAAGGGCGATAAATACTGTGCGCAACACAAACCGGCTGAGGAAAAACAGGGTGGTGAAGAAAGAATTCCTTGTCCAATTAATCCCCGGCACAATATACGAAAAAGTCAGCTTAAACGTCATATGAAGAAATGCCAGTCAATAGTTCCACCACCGAACGATCCATGGTATTCTCCTGATATGAACATTACTGATCCATCCCATTCTGCTGCTGAAAAGTCGGAATTTAGCAGCTCTGAATATCAAAAAATGGCAAAAGCATTAAATGAGCTTTGGGAAACCTTATGGAATAAAGAAGAATTGGATCTTGAAGTTTTAAATCATGATGGATTAAAAGAAAGATTGTAAGTATAAGTTTTTTCATTTTCATTTTCATTTTCATTTTCATTTTCATTTTCATTTTCATTTTCATTTTCATTTTCATTTTCATTTTCATTTTCATTTTCATTTTCATTTTCATTTTCATTTTCATTTTCATTTTCATTTTTATTTTCATTTTCATTTTCATTTTCATTTTCATTTTCATTTTCATTTTCATTTTTTTTTTTTTTCATTTTCATTTTCATTTTCATTTTCATTTTCATTTTCATTTTCATTTTCATTTTCATTTTCATTTTCATTTTCATTTTCATTTTCATTTTCATTTTCATTTTCATTTTCATTTTCATTTTCATTTTCATTTTCATTTTCATTTTTTTTCATTTTCATTTTCATTTTTTTTCATTTTCATTTTCATTTTCATTTTCATTTTTTCATTTTCATTTTCATTTTCATTTTCATTTTCATTTTTCATTTTCATTTTCATTTTCATTTTCATTTTCATTTTCATTTTCATTTTCATTTTCATTTTTCATTTTCATTTTCATTTTCATTTTTCATTTTCATTTTCATTTTCATTTTCATTTTCATTTTCATTTTCATTTTTTTTTCATTTTCATTTTCATTTTCATTTTCATTTTTTCATTTTCATTTTCATTTTCATTTTCATTTTCATTTTCATTTTCATTTTCATTTTCATTTTCATTTTCATTTTCATTTTCATTTTCATTTTCATTTTCATTTTCATTTTCATTTTCATTTTCATTTTCATTTTCATTTTCATTTTCATTTTCATTTTTTGCTAACGTTATGATTTTTAGATCTGAACTAGAAATTCCTAAGCACGCGACTCAGCAAGCGTCGTTAATTGGCCATATGGAAAAGTCTGGGCTTTTAGGTGTTTCTAAATTGGTAAACGGTCAAAATCCTAGTAGCACTATTATTGCAGAATTTGGGTGCGGTCGTGCTGAGCTTTCGCGTTATGTGGCCAGATCTCAATTTCTAACATTGGCTGAAACTAACGAAAATCAGCGCACTCAGTCACATAGACCATTTTTTCTAGTAGACCGTGCGGGTCCCCGAATGAAATTTGATACAAAAATATTAAAAGACTACCAATGTGATATTGACAAAATATTAGCAGAAGAAAAAGAAAAATCATTTAATAAAGACATAAAGATCCCCCCGCCTTTTGTTAAAAGAGCCTTAATTGATATTAAGGATTTAAATCTTAATGTCGCACTCAATAACCTTTTCCCTAATGATTTGAATTCAGATGTTGTAGCTATTTCTAAACATCTTTGTGGATGTGCTACGGATCTCACGCTTCAGTGTCTTGCAAACAATACTTCGACCTTAAAGTCCATCGATAAACCTACAATGACACACAAATTAAAGGGTCTCGTAATTGCACTTTGTTGTCGACAACTCTGTACATACGAAACATACCCTCTTGTTGGGCGTAAATTTCTTATTGATAGCGGATTAATCACTACGCCAGATTCTTTTCGATTGTTAACTAAAATGACGTCCTGGGCACTTTGTGGAAGGAGAGATGATATGGCAACTGATGAAGAATCAGTCCAAAATCACTTCTCAGGGTTGAGCATAAAAGAGCGAGAAGTTGCTGGGTTTCTTGCCAGGAGGGCTATTGATCATGGTAGACTATTAAGTTTATGTGACATGGGATATCAGTCCAAGCTTATTAGATATGTGAGTCCAGAAACTTCACTAGAAAATGTAGCTTTGATAGCTCAATAAAACTAAACAAAATTAAGCGTAAGAATAAATTTTATTAAAACTAAATAAACAAATTTTTTTAAACCTTCTGTCCCTTAAGACCGGCCTTCCAGAAAACAAAGTAAGGAGTAACACCATCTTCACGGTAGTTGCAAAGAACGATCATACCATCAGGGTTCAAGTCCTCAGCAATGTAAAAATCGTAGTCCTTGATGTTCTTAGCAACCTTGGTAGCATATGCGGTAGCCTTGCTCTTGAAATCATTGAATTCCTCAGCCTCCAAAACACCAGAAAGTCTCTTGAAGTATTTCTTAAGTTCACTAAGATAAGCCTTCTTGTCATAAGCAGGAATGCTTTGGAGGTTGAAAGAGCGGACAATGTTGATAATCTGTTCGCCACTTTCCTCTCCAAAATCTTCGTCACCACCCTCAGCAGAAGGGTTAGCACCAATGTCAACGTCACCTTCCTTAACAGTGATCAGTTGAGCGTCAACTTCGTAGACAGCATCGTCAACAAGAGTCATATCATAAGCATCAGAGCAAAGCTCAGCGCCGGTAATGCGATCCTAAATAACGAGTTAATATATTAAAAATATACATATCTTGATAAACTATATATACATAAACATACCTCGAAAATAATCATTTTTAAGTCTGTGTTAAATAGTTAATTGAAACTTGCTCAAGCAGCGTTTGTAAAGAAAGAGGAAAGAAAAAAAATTTCAAAAAGAAGAAAAAGCTTTTCGGGCTTGACTATTAAAAAAAATTTTTTTGTACTGAAATATTCTCAGACTAAAATATACACTGTAATTTTAATTTTAATTTTTTTTACCATGTGCAAGGTTACAGAATAAGTTATGTAAACATGTTTACAACTGAAAAGTAAACATTCCGACCCCTTATTTAAACAACAAACCTATGCTTATAATAAGAAATTTCATAAATCTTCAACGTTAAATTCATTTTTGTTTTGATCTGTTTATTTTTATTATTATCTTAAAATTTTTAATAATTGATGGTAAATTTTGATGCAAACTGGTCTATCAGCAAATGTTATCGCGTTATTCGACCCCTGGAAAGTCAAATTTCAAAATACAATGATTTGGCTAGAACGTATCCGGCATTAATAGAGTTCCCATGCCATGATTGTAAACAAAATTCAATTTATCAAAAAGGATCAATAAGACCATCTCGAGCTACAACTCGCAAAATTTTCATTAATTCTGGTGCAAATTACAGGGCTGAGTCTGACACCAAAAGTACCGACAATACCAATGAATCTGAGTGCAAAAATGAAATAGATTTTGAACGGGTTTTCTGGTATTATAAGTCATTTGGTAGTGAGGAAGCTTACAATTGTCTATTGTCTGTTTTTAATGTTTTCATTCAATTTATGGATATTACATACCAGGGCCCATTAAAGTCTCTTGCTCAAAAAGCAGCCTTTCAAGTTGGACAGTGCATTGCCATGACAAATCAAGAAATTGCTCAAAATAAATGGTATGAGAGTATGGAAATGATTTTACATTATCATAGGATAGTGTGCTTGGGTCACGGTGTTGGTCTTATTTTAAAAAATGCTTTTGCTTTGCGGCATGTACTTCCAGCTTTTATTCACGAGTGCTACATACGCGGATGGCATGATATAAGTCATGCAATATTTGAAAATTATATTTCAATTTTACCAAAAGATGAATACTGGGAAAAGGGAGGGGTTTTGTTTAACATTGGTGCAAATTGTGACCCAGCGATGAAAAATTTTGCATTTCAATTCATACCAAAACATTTCAATCATAAGGAAACTAAAGACTTATCAGCATTTACTAAATTTATTGACTCTTTTAAAATAACTAATGCTGAATACCTCGACACTTTTGAAAATTACCTATTATATGTTATTGACGGATTTTGGACACTTACCAATGTCAAGTCTCGTAAAGCAAGACTTAGTGCATCAGACTACAAACACATTATTACCGAACTTATAAGGCGTCGATTTTCTTTGTGCCAAAGTTCAAATTTTCTTCCTAATTTACGTTTCATTAAGCTTCTCTCAAAATATATACCTACATCGAAACCATTTAACAATCTCCGACTTCTTTTATACATGTACTTGAATTATGTCGAAAATTCGCCGACTAAGAATTGCAATAAAATTCCAAACATTATTTTTGATGACGACTTTGTTTCTCTTTATTGCTTATTTTTTCGAAATTTTAATGATTTTCGGAAAGTATCAGATTCGATGTTGTGTCATTTTCCTGATCTTGTTTTAAAAGCGTCATCACATTATATTTCCAACATAGAACGTGGTATTCAAGTGATTAATTGGCAGGACTCAATCGAATCAAAAATTTCGCAGTCAGTTTCAAAAAGACACAATTCCGGCATGTGCTCATCGTCTTTTTCAAATATTAGAGTGCTTAAAGAGATTGCAAGTAAAGATAAAGTTTTTAGAGAGAATGTGATACTCAATGATATTCCTGTCGATTTATTTTCTTCTAAATTTGAATTGATCAATAAGAAATATACTACACTTCTGGATACCGATTTAACGACTTGGGCATGTGATATTCCAGAGATCTCACATACTTCAACAAAATATCAAACTCTTAATACACATGGGCGAAGAAGAGTTCCAGTGATTTATCCTGATTCTGAAACTAGTGATGAAGAAAATGATCTGAGTCATGAATTAGAACCCATAAGTAATGGTTTGGATTCATTTAATGACAGTGATGAAACTGATACTGAAAGTAACAGAAATTTTACCGATTCGAGCTTTACAGATACAGACTCATCTATATTAACGGATCAGAACTGTTCATTTAAAGTTCTAAAAAAGACTAAAAAAGCGAAAAGCACTAAACCCAATTGCAAAAGATTATTTCCAGATGTGATATCTTTGGTTGACGGTATGGACCCTGACGACATATTTTTTGAACTTTATGCTACGCATATTAAAGGATCATCATTATCATGCCCGCATTCTATTGAACATGACATTGATTTGCCTATTTCATGTCGAAAGAAAAGGAGAATAGGAGTTAGTAAATACTCAAAAAATGCTTTTATTCCAAAAAATGATGATGTTGATGATATTTTAATAATTAGATAGAATATAGATTTTAATGAATTAATGACTGTAGATTTATTTTTAAAAATCACTTATATTTACAAATTATAAAACCCATATGAATCAACTTCAAGCTGTAAATCCATCATCTATGGTAAGAACAGAGCCATTCATATGGTCCGAAAGTGCTAACGTTAATGCTGCATTAGAGATTTCTTCTACTGGAATAAGACTTTTTGTAGGACTTTGACTGGTATAAAGCTCTATCAAAGACTTATCCATGTCATTTGTCATGGATGTATCAACGAGCCCGGGACAAATAGCATTCACTCTAATGTTACGACTCCCAAGCTCTACTGCTAAAGACCTTGTGAATCCAATAACTCCAGCTTTAGTTGCTGCGTAAACAGACGTTCCTTTTACCCCTCGAACACCTAGAACTGAAGAAATATTTATGATGCATCCTTTTTTCTTCCTTATCATAGGCTTAATCATAGACTGGGTAGAAAAAATGGTTCCTAAAAGATTGGTATCAACCAAGTCGTTTATATAATCTCTGGGAGTCGTTAGCAGTAATGACGACTGTGCAATTCCTGCACTATTAACTAAGATATCTATAGTGGAAAGTTTCTTTAAGAAGTCAGTTTGATAAAAAAAATGAAGTAAAATATACTTACTGTCCCAATATCAGTATCATTAAAAGTTTTTTTACTCGCTATATCAAAAACAGCGATTGAATGATTTTGTTCAGTTGGATTGTGAACAGGAAGAGTGGTAACGGCAGACTCTAGCTTTTCTTTTGTTCTTGAAAGCAGTATCACTGAAGCTCCTTCTTCTGCAAACTTTTTGGCAATTGACAAACCAATACCTTGTGATCCTCCAGTAATTAGAGCTTTTTTCCCCAAAAGTCTAAGTTGGTTTTGAGAAGAAAAAAGAGATTTAGTCAAATGCATTTTAACTGTTGTTTGTCGAATACTTCCATTTCAAAAGTGTGAAGGAGTGTTTTTTACTTTACTTTTTTTGTACGGCAAAATTTTAAAATAGTGGTTACTATGGGGACCCCACAGAAAATAACTTGAGAGCTACAGACATATTGTTGTGTGTCTTTCAAATAAAAAGTCCTCCTTTTCTCTCCATTTTTTCTTCTTGTTCTTTTTATTCTCCATAAAATTATAAAAAAAAATTAAATTACAATTCTTTATCACAAAAAGACAATTAAAACAGTTTCAATGAGTATGATACCAGGGCTTTCTATGGCCAGTTTGGCTATTAAAAAGACAGTACGCAAGGCTGCTGAACCTGTCGTTACTCCTTTAATTATGTTGGTATCTGGCACTTTTTTTCTTCCTTTCTATGTATGTAAAGATAAAAATATGATATTAAACAATATTTTAACATTATTATTTAGGGAATATACTATTTTTTATCTCATCCTGTTTTGTGGGCATATATGATGACGGTTTTGATTCCTGAGCTCATAGTTACTTGCATGGTATACGTTATGATGTATGCTATGTTCTATCCTCCCCAAGCCATTGTTGCAATTTTTTTCAATGGTCCTTCAGGAATATTTACGGCTTGGCTTGCTATGATTCAACAGAGTGCCCGTGCTGCTAGATACGTTTCTATGTGGATAGTTTTACCTACACCAATGAAGATGCTTTTTGATGCGGCATGACAATAAATAAATAATGATATTCTTTTTTTATCGTATTGCTAACTTCTTTTTTAGGTCATGACAAAAGAGGGGTGTGATGATTTAGTTGTTACGGGTAGAGCTCGTCGGACAGTGAAGCCTGGAATGATTTCTCGTGTTCGATTATGGATTCGCACCCTTCCTAGACGTACACTTTTCCCTATTTGGTTTTTGAAATCTGCAGTTTTTTTTGCATTGAACTTTGTCCCTGTTGTAGGACCTATTGTCCTTGTTTTTCTCGAAGCTCCCAAACGTGGGCGCACAGCTCATGGTCGATATTTTGAGCTTAAGGGTTATTCTCCCGCTCAAGTAAACAATTATGCGAAGGGCCGTCGTGGACAATACACAGGGTTTGATAAAAAAAAATATTTTTTTGATCATTTGAACTATTCATACTAATATTGTTGATTTATAGATTTGGATTGGTCGCTAATATGTTAGAAGCCATACCGGTTATTGGAGTTTTCTTTCTCTTCACCAATACAGTCTCAGGTGCACTGTGGGCGGCTTCGTTGGAAAAGGCAGAAAGACAGAGGCTAGGAAGCTTTAGATATGCAAGCAAGCAAAAAGCTCATAAGTTTTTAACTGGACGCAATTATTAATCATAAATTTTGTTTTTTCACGGTATTAGTTGATATTTTGGTTGTACAACTATAATATTCAAGGTATTATTAAGAGTTTGAAGATGGATGATTATTATTTGGATTTTGTAAGTTTTCTTTAATTTTTAGATTCAATATCTATCTATAGAAATATAATTTAAATGGTTTAAACAGAAGCAGCAAGTTTTTCTTTTAAAAAAGATAAACGCTATCGATGCATCCGAAACCAGCAGCTACACCACCTTCATTGCTAGATTGTAGTTTAGATCGAAGTAGCCAGCCCACTTGTTCATTATGAAGAATCTTTGAGTTAGAAGAGTCCCACAAAATAGTGCCGAAAACACCAAGTTCGGATATGACTCCACCGAAATAAATCTCACCAGCCCGAAGAATCTTGTTTTTAAACTCGGGGGGCTTGATAAGCTCCATAAGAATATAAGCACCCCATTGTTCTTCAGGAAGAGTCTTTAAAAACCCAGGGATATTTTCCTTGTATACGTTATTGCCCCCACCCTCTCTCTGTGGCTTAAGCACAAATTTTTCTGGTTGTTCCTGGGCAAGCTTGCGAGCAATTAGGCCATTAGGCGAGGTGTCCATTGGATATAAATCAACAAAGGTAGCAAGAAGTTGTTCCAAATTTTGAGGTGTAGAATTAGGTAAAAATTTTCTAATGGTTTCCTTGTCAGTCAAAATTTGCTGAATCTTTTTAGCCCCAGACAGTTGTGTCAACAATGTAGGAGACTTGATGGCGTGAGAAGTTTCAAGATAAACACGAGCATCCCATTCTTCTTCAGTGGGGTAATCTGTAGGAGCATATCCTGATCGGTAGTACACAACAGAGACCTCTGCATTGGTTGGAGTGTAAATAAGTTTTTGAACACCATTTGTTTCTAAAAGCTTAGTTTCCAAGCGAACGTTATCCAGGGTGACTCGATAACTGGTAATTCCATAGTTATTGTATAAGGAATACTCAATGTGTCGCTGATCAAAAACATTCCGTTCACCAGGCTGGACAATAAAAAGAACGACTTGCTTGCTGTATCCCGAAACCAAAACGTTATTTTTGGCATACTCCTTATAAGCTACAGCCAACCCGTCGGCCAAGCCATCAATTGATTTCGAAATTGCAGTCTTACCTTTAAGAAATTCTGCAGAAGGTCCATAAGTGTCAGAGTCAGCAAGATAAGTATGAAGCTGAGACACCTTTGATGAAAGGGATCCAAAAGATACAGAAACCGTGTTAAATTCGACTTGTTTGATTGAAACAGAATCTTCTTCATTGGTCTTTGATCCGTCCTCGTTAACAATATAGTCAGATCTGAATATTCCTAATGATAAAGGTTGAGTAATTCCAATTTCCTTAGCCTTAACATATGATTCATAAAGTTTTCCGGTAAAGTCATGATCTAAAACAGTGACACTAAACAAATTAGACCAGTTCGTAAGTGGAGATATCATGCACATACTCTTTCAAAGCCTCAGTTAGCCATTCAGTGTTATCAGATACATTAGCATAGAGCTCGTTAAAAGTAGTTTGAACGTTAAGAGCAGATTCAAACCCGGATCTAGGAAACGGAGAGGGGTAAACAGTAACTGGGGCGTGAACGGCAGTTACACCTTTGCCTTCTGGCGTCAGCATAGCTAAGCCATTTCCCAAAGACCAGTCAATAATTGTATCATTAATGAAAGATTCCTCTTTTTCAGAAGGCTGGGGAGGATAACTAGGATAAACCATTGTTAATCAGTATATAGAAAAAAGTGTTGCCAAAATAAAATAAAATAAAAAAAAAGAGTGAAATAAAGGGTAAAAGAAAAGTGTGGAGAGTGCTTAGAAATTGATTAATGTGAGCATTGCCCATCATCTAAGTTTACAAAAAAAAATTCAATGATTACTAATATTTTCAATCACGACATTTCACAACTCATACATATCATTAATGATAAACGATGACGACAAGTAGCCTCAGCTTCTCGAAAAAGTATTACCATGTCGAGAGAATAAATTAACTGTTAACTTTTCTATTTTTATTCTATTTCAACAAACTGTTTATTTAACAAGAATCAAATGCATTATATAAGTAAAAAAAGCTTTTCAAAAGTGCTTTAATCAAAAACAATCTTTTTACCAGCAAATTTAACTTGGGCTGTTGCAGCCGCTGCAAGCTTTTTCTTTGCTTCCCAAGAAGGATGAAGAGGTTTACTTTCAAGCTTTTTCTGCTCAGCTTCTTTGGCAGCAGCAGCAGCATCTTTAGATGACTCTTTACTTGGCTTACCAGTCTTTTGTCTCTTTGCTTCACGTGCTTCGTATTCTGCCTGAAGCTGAGCACGCTTCGCTTGATACTTATCGCGCTCAGTCTTCAGATGGTTGGCATTTTTACCATACTTGCGTTCAGCTATCGCTCGGCGCTCTCGCTGACCACGTCTATTCTTTTTTTTACCAGTTTTGGAGTCAATGCCTTCCATTTCATCCATTTCTTTTAGTTCACGCTGAAGCTCCATATCCTCTTCATCATCAGAAGCTCCAATGAATGTATTTAATAATGCAGGTAAGACAATCTTTTTCTTTTCTTTCTTTTCTTTCTTTTCCTTTTTATCTTTCTTTTCTTTATTAGACTTGGAGTCATCTTCTTCGCCGTCTTTACTTCTTTTTCTCTTTTTTGATTCTGTGCTGTCGATGTCTTCATCTAATTCTTCAAAAAACCCACCTTCTTCTTCTTCTTCACTTTCTTCTTCTTCTTCTTCACTTTCTTCTTCTTCGCTTTCCTCTTCTTTTTCATCATTGTCAGATTCGGGCTCTAAAATTTCATTGTAGAACTGCTCATCTCCCTCACTATCAGAAATATCATCGTAGTTTAATGTAGATGTATTGGTAATAACATTTTTATCCTTTTTCAGCTTTTCGATATCGACATTGGCAATATTGTCTTCTTCATCTTCATCATCACTGAAAACAAGGGGTCTTCCATGGTATTCAATTGAATCGACATCTTCAGTTTGATCTTCATTATCACTATCTTGTTGTTCATCATCACCTTCTTTTTCATTTTCATCATCTTCAGACTTTTTTTCTTCCTTGTCATTACCATCACCACGTTTAACCTTTTCGCCAAGGCCAACAGCAAAATTGATAACTCCAACAAGCTCCTCTAACTGAGATGTTACACTTTTTAAATTACTGAAATGCTGGTAATTATTGTCGATATCTTTAGAAAGTTTAAATGAGTCATCTGTTTTCAAGATAGATTCAGGAATCCATGGTGGTAAATCTTTTATGGTTTTTTCAGAATCATTGGTGCTATTTTCTTGGTTGATATAAATATTGTATAAATGACGTTTAACAATTATTGGCGAAAGCTCTACTATATTAACAGACTTTAGATCCTTTAATTTTTTCTCTAGTTCGGCTTCTTTAATATTCTCTTCTTCCGGTGTGTTACTATCATCATTATGAAGACGTTTTAAAGCTTTTCCTACTTTTAAAACTTCTAAAGTTTTTGACTTTTTAAGAGCACGTTGGATTTGTATTATTCCATGGTGGATTTTTTGCTCTACCAGCTGTTTTTTAAGGGCGTTAATCTGTGCCTGTAACTCTGCCTTACGTTGAATTTCAAGAGTTTCGCTTGGCTTATTTTCCTGCACATCATTTTTGTTTTCATCAGTTTCATTGTCTTGGTCTTTTGCAGCAGCTTCTCTCTTAAGAGCACGTTGCTTATATTTATGTCGTCGAATTTCACGGTCCGCAGCAGCTTTAGTACTCTTAAGACGAGTACTTTCGACGCTTTGATTTAGCTTTGCTTCAAGAAAATCAATCTGCCAAAGCAAATTTTTTTTCTTGTTATTGAGACCAGTTTTATGGCTCCTGTCATCTTTAATTTGTTTCATATTTCGTTAACGAACTCGTTAAATAGAGTGAAATCAAAAAAAAAAAAAAAAAAAAAATGAAAAATAATAAAAAAAAAACTCCGATAATAAACAAGAAAATTCCCAAAATGAAAATTTTTTTGTAACAAGCTTGAAATATTGTAACAATGACAATCTACAATAAGCTTTAGCATAGTATATATATAAAACTATGGAAAGTGATCAAGATTTTACAGAAAATAAAAGATAGCAAAGCTGTTTATAAATGTACAAAATAAATTCAAGGGTCTATTTACAGAAAAATATAGTAAGGATTGATCAGGTTAAATACTGTTTTTGTGGAGTTTTTCTTTGAACAAAATAATCGTTCAAAATGCTGTTTTGAAGATATAAATGTACTCACAAATTGGGAGCAAATTCAACACTCCAAAGTCAACAAATCAAAAAAAAAATTTCAAAAATGAAATAAAATAAAATAAAATAAAAAGCTTATTCATAAAGGATTTTATTTCTTTTCATTCTTGCCATCAGTCTCAGGAGCAGGCTGCCAGTTTTCCTGCCAGATGGTGTTTGGGGGAGTCTCAGTAGGGACTCTGAATTCAGGTGAAAATCTCTTTCCACGTTCTCTCATAATGGCGTGGTGAGCAAGAAAAGGATCGGAAGCCTCAAGATCTTCACAGGCCTCAACAATCTTCTCATACTGACCAGTGAGTTGGGCCTTGTGGGTCTCGCGCTTTTCAGCCTGGAAGATGGCCCAGGCACGAGTGGCAACATTGTGGCGTAACTTGTCTTCAAGACACAACTTGATCTGACGAGGCTGCTTCTTTCTAGCACTGAAAACACTCAGCTGGGTGACGAGACGCTGGATGTTGGCAGTTTGGGCAGCATTGGTTTTGGTGCGCTTTCCTCTGGTGGTGATGTGTGGGGCTAACAAAGCAAGACGACCTTGTGAGCTTTGAGAAACAGAGGAATTAAAAAAAGAGTTAGAAGCCAGTCGCTGGGTGGCTCTAGTAAAGTTTCGTATGCTGGATTGAGACTGCATTGTATGTTGATATCAGAGTGTTGAACAGGGTTGATTCAAAGGGATTTACTGATTCCAATTGGTGGTTGGGTGTAAAATTTCAAGAGGCAGCAGTGAAAAAAAATTAATTTTTTTCTAATATATTATGTAATTGTAAATAATTAATTATGTAATTTTATCAGTTTTTTATGAGAGCTGTTTAGGTGTTGTTTTATTAGTTATTATGAGTTTAATTAAAAGCAAATTAACAAAAATTACATGCAATCAGGATAAAATAAATTCAAGGCAGCCAGCCATACTATGATCAACCACAATAATATAAAAAAATATTTCTTGGCTCATCAATCACTTAAAATTTAATTTGATGAGTATGAATCAAAACTTCCTACATATACTTTCCAGGGATGGTTTTTTTTTTGTAGTTTTAAAAGAAATTCTCCTAAATTATTTTCACGTCAAGTAGCGAACTATTCTTAATATTATACAAAATGGCTTGTAAGGGAGATGAGTGAAAAAAACAAGAACGTACAACATTGGAAAGAAAACACCAAAAGAGTATGGTGAAACACAAAACAAAGCTCTAAGTCAGTCAGAGATTTTAAAATTAGTTTCTTGTGGCTCAAAGCTAAAAAAATATTAAGCGAAGTCTCGCTTAAAACAAATCTCGCTAAAGGATCCTCGCTAAACACTAAGCGAGACTCGCTTAAAACAGTGCGGTTGCAAGCATTTTAATACAAACAAGGTTGAAATGGAATTCAAGGGTAATTTGAAAAATCAAAAAAAAATAATATTCTTCTATAATAATAGGTGTCATAAAGCTTATCCATCAAAGATACTAGAGATACATAGGTATTTGTTACATAGATTAGTTGTGTATGTTTACAAAGTTAAGTTTGTGAAACACTAATATGCTGGAGCCGCATCCTAAGTGTTACCTAAACTATTATTTTAACCATACTGGACTGTTTTTATGAGATAATCACCGGAATTTAAGACAAAGTAACTAATTAGTTACTTTGTTTTAAATCCCGATGGAAAAAACATATTTAATGCCTTGCCTTTTTTATTATTATTATTTTTTTTATTTTTTTAATTTTTTTAATTAAATTTTTTTTGACATCTTTTGAAACTACATTGATAATCCTACAAAGTATCTAGCAATTATGTTTTTGAGTCAATCTCAATCTGAGCTAATCGTTTCACGATTAATCAATAGAAAAAAGACTGTTTAATATATATTTTGAAAAAAATAAATAAGCCAAAACAGGAAACCAATCATTTAATATTTTGATGACTAGATACCAAAAATCCGTTTATGAATGAACCCTAGATATATCCAGCTACTAATATTTTTTAAAATCAAAACTTTTCAAAACATTGACCTTCTTATTACTTTAGCTTTGAATTTTACCAATTGACCGATTAGAAACTAAATCAATACCAAAACAAACTTAGTTATCTCAAAATATCTCCATCTTTGCATCCTTAAGCCAATTTTTTTTATCTTCAAAAGTGGTTTTTCATCAGCATTAAATACCAGAAAAAGCACTGGCAAATGTTTGACAATGATTAGCTCATCATTTGAACAATTATCGTCACGTGCTAGAGATTTAAGCAATGGATACATAGGATATCTCGAACAAAGCTTAAGTCCATAAATACGGAATTAACAACCATTGAGGTTGCATCGGAAGTATACATGCGAGAAATAGTTAAAATACAACAAAACAATGTCTAAACCTCAATATAAAATTGAAAGTTGCTGAGGTTAGTTCATTGAACGAATCGAACAAACTGGGTCAAAAGCTAGAACTAAATATTCAAAAAAATTATCAATTAAGACATTATAACTTGGATTTTAAAAAGACTATACTTTTAGTTTGCTTTGGCTACCAGAACTTAAGCAGAGAATCTCTTCTCAGCCTCCTTCCAGTTGATGACGCTCCAGATGGCCTTGAAATAGTCGACCTTGACGTTCTGGTACTGGAGGTAGTAAGCGTGCTCCCAAGCGTCAATACCGACAATGGGGATATGAGGACCATCAACAATGTCCTGGTTAGGCTTAGTAATAACATCAAGAGCACCAGTCTCCTTGTTCTTAACAATCCAAGCCCAGCCGGAACCCTGGATGCCAGCAAGCTTAGTATTGACGTTGCCGACGAGGGTGTCAAAGGAACCGTAGTACTCAGTGATAGCCTTGCCGAGAGGAGAGTCGGCGGCAGGAGGAACACCACCACCCTGGGAAACGGGGGCAAGGTTCTTCCAGAAAAGAGAGTGGTTGATATGGCCACCACCGTGGAATCTAATGGCAGGGGTCAGCTTGATCTGGGCAGCAACGTCGTTCTTGACCTTGGCCTCAGAGAGCTGCTCAATGGCAGCGTTGTAGCCATTGACGTAAGTTTGATGGTGCTTGGTGTAGTGGAGCTATAGACAATAGACAGTTAGTATTAAATCTGCGGCATATTAGAAAGCAAATCAGCAATATTGCATTAGGGGTTTTTTGTTGAGTTTAAGTGAGACAAAGTAGTATAGTGCTGTATTGTAATTTGAAAAAAATTAGGCAATTGAGTCTAGAGCAATTGCTTGAATAAACGTGTTATGGGAACTGGACCCGTTAAGGGAGACCGTCTCATTGGTCGAATTGAGAAGTGGTATATGAACCCAAAAGTAATACAAAAAATCTCACTTTTCAAGGTTGTTTGGTATTCTGAAATGAAAGAAAAAACCACATAAAAACAAACTGCTAAAATAAAATATGATATAGACCTACCTCATTGATCTGACCAGAGATAAAAGGCTCGAGGGCACCAAAGTCGTAGTCAAGGTCGGGGAGAGTGACCTTGTTGCGGGCAAAGACTGTGGTGTAGGCAGCTCTGCTGGAGGCAGCACGTCTGAGAGTGTTTCTGGTGGCGAGGGCAAAAGTCATGATGATAATTAATTGATATTAGAATAGAAAGAGATTATTAGGATAAAAAAAAATAAAAAGAAAGGGAGAAAAGGTTGAGGGAAAAAATAAAAATAAAAATAAAAAAACAGGGAAATCGCAACTCTTAAATAGGCTTTTGTTACAAATCTACTTCTACAGAGCATTTTAAAGCACTTATCAGCACTTTTATTTTCCTTTGCTGCTAATCGGCAACACCTTAAACGCTTGTTACATTACAAAATTACGCAATTGCGATTACTGGCTAGGATTTTTGTGTGTATTTCACGTGACACAAACCCTAATTGTAGAGGAAACTGGCCAACCCAGATCAAAAGCCGTGTATAAGGCCGGGTAATAGTTTATTTAAATCAATAAAAGGACCGCTCCTTTTTCCCACCTTAGAAAAATTTTCCAAGCTTGTTTGTTTTCCCTTTAGATATTTTGTAAACTTGCACTTTACTCTAAATTCTCTCTCACCGTTTAAAAATTAACTACCTGCTCTGTTCAATAATGTTCTTTTGTCACAGCTTGTGATCTAGAACTGACCCCACCGGCTGGCTTGTGGACTTTAGTTTTGCAGGGTTTTACTCAATTGGTAAGTCTATAATTAAAAACAAAAAACAACTATTGCACGCTCTTTTGCTCTTTCATGATGAGAAAACTCTACAGACCTGTTCCAACATTGATTTAATTATCAATCTGCGGACAACACGATATTGCCATTTTTTAACTGACTCACGCAATAATATTTTTAACTTGTGCCTTTTAATATTGAAAGTATTAAACTAACCTTTGCTCTTTTTTTAGTAGTCTATTTGTATATTATTTTATCTTTATGTAAGCCTTAGTTAGAATGTAAAAAAAATAAATTAAATCATAAATCATTAAAAATATTCATAAAGCAACCGAAGATTTTAGGTTCTCCATTGAATACCGGCTGTTGAGATTTCTAGGAGCTTTAAAGTCTTCCATGGAATACCTGTGATTGTGGTGTCTGGCCGGAAGTTTTGGCCGGGGCAGTCTTTGGAGAACCTCAGGTACCGTAGGTAGCAATGTATCATTTCCGCTGTTGCCAGGTACATTGAAGAGTACTGATTGCGCGGTGATTGGGCGTTCTTCGGTGCTTCTACGCGGACTTACAGTATTGTCAGTTGTGATGACGCTATCAAAGTCAGCAGCACCATCCACACTGGACGATGAGTTGTTTTCAGAAACAATACTACTCCGCAAACTGGCCGTGCTCAAAATGCTTGCTCGTCTGCTGGCGACTGAGGACGCCATGCGCATGACAGGAGCATATGTGTTATTAATTGAGCCAAGTTGGTCTTGGACCATCATTGGGTGATGATGGTGGTGATTTAACAGCCTATCGTACCTGTCGTCAACTGTATTGCCGCGTCGGTGGAGTTGCTGTTGGATTTGGGCCGATAATACGGATGGTTCTGCAAGTGATAAATCGCTGATTGATAACGACGAATTGCTACGTTTATGAACGACTAATGGAGGCGTCGACGGAACCGACAAATGACTAAGGTAGTCGTGCGGCTGCTGCTGTTGCATCTGATGCAACGACATGGATGACCAACGGCCACCCTGCACTAAATCTCCTTTTTCTTCTTCAATGCTGGCAACAGATTGTCGTGCACTTCTCGCAGCTGGAGAGCGTGGTGGAGATACCCGAAGTGAAGGTGGGGGCACAAGCAATCCTGTACTCAGCATTTGCTGCTGCTGCTGCTGCTGCTGCTGTTGCTGTTGTTGTTGTTGGATCAGTTGGTTCTCGGAAAAGAAATGTGAACGTGGGGTGGACTGAGTCATAAATGAAGAAGAAGACATTGTCGGGGTATCAGTTCCACTCACAAATCCACTATAGTTGAGTTGTGATGTGCTTGATTGGAATGAAAATCGATCTGCATAGTTTGCAATGGCTTGTGCGGGATGCTGTTGAAGGTAACTTTGGTTATTTTGGTGCTGCGGATGCAAAAGACAAGGTTCACTAGTTGTTCCAGGCATGGTTCCAATATAACGGTTTTGAACACTGTCACTACTGAAATCCCACTCATCAAATGCCGTGCCATCCTGCGGCGCTATTCCAAGACTGGCTGAGCTTGTATTGAAACTACTAAGTTTAACCGAACCTAAGAAATTATTAAAGTCATTAATGGGAGGAAAGCCGTGATTCAGGGAATTAATATGGTCATCATTATTGTCTTGATTCCCATCTCTGCCGGTATCGGAGCCTTCTAGACTTTCATTGATCGAAGGTATGAGCCCCGGATCCGTTGCGGCTTCATTTTGATCGGATAATCTTTTAATTTTTGTGTTCTGCTTATAATCAATAAACCCATTGGTGGTGGTGGGACGGTAGGAGCGCGAACTTGTACTATTTTGTAGGTTAAAGCTTCGCTGTCTTCCCATATCAAATATCTGGGGCTCATCATCCTTACTATTTTCCCTGGTATTATCATCTGTGTTATAAGATGAAACTGCTTGATCGCCCATATGAAGCTGAGTTTTGCTAGATGAAAAAATATATTTAACCTTTAACCATGCTCCTCCTAGAAATCCACCTGGAGTTTCTATAAATGATCCATTATTATTTTCTTCAACCTTGGTGTCATTTTCTGTCGAATTGCTATTGTTATTTTCTGTTGTTTCGTTAGTGCCATTATTTTGTGCTTGATACCGACCAAGCCCCATTTCTATTGTATCATTGGGGAATTCTGTAGTTGTCGAGTAGTTGGAGGAACTCTGGGGAAGCTGGTCTTGTTGCTGAGAATCATTTGTTACATTGGCTACCATGAGCTCTGAGGGGTAACGGTACCCTGGAGCTGGATATTGGTACCTTGATAACTTAGGCTCATTGTTGCCTAGATAACCTCCGTTGTTGATTTTACCTGATGAAGAAGCATTGAATTTTGTAAATGGGTTTAACATGGCAAAGAAGCTTAATTTTGTACTTTTATTACTGCTAGTTTTCTTTTTAGGCTTATCATTTTGATTTTTTTCAACTTTTAGTTTATTTTGAATTGAAACACTTTTGTTGCTTCTGTGGCGACGATGATTCCAGTATTTCATGAAGTGATTTTGTTTTTCAAATTCGATGGGAATACTAGGAACTCTATTATGGATTTTATTATGAGCTCGTTGTTTGGAGAGGGCTACAAAGATAAATAGGATATCGATTGACCGTGTGGCACTAAGAACTATTAAAGTGAGAATCCAGAGGATTCCAAAAGCAAGCTCGAGGTTTTTGTGATACTGTGTGATTTGACTAAATATGGTTGGATCAAGTTTTAGGTGTTGGGAAAGCCAATACATTCCACAGACAGCGGAGGCCATGACAGGGATGATGTTGATAAAGAGAACGTAGAGAGCATCGCGTATACTAAATGCTTGTTTATTGTTAGTTCGAATGTTAATTTTGGTAAATGAGCGAGATATAGCAATGTCGGAAAAAACTTTTGAGGCAGAACAGGATATGAGAAGCGAGGAGGTTGCGATGATTGAATGTTTAAGGTTTTGGGAGGCAGCTTCAAATGTATTTGGAGTAGTCACAAGGTAGAATCCCAAGGTTGCTGCTGGGATGGGTATTAGGATCACAGCGATTAGGGCTAGAACGGGAGATTTTCTGGAAACTTGTTTTGTGTGGTTATTACTAGTAGCAGAATCTAGGTCGTTGAAAGAGATATAGTTTGGGGGTTTATGTGTTTCTAACTGATCGATCAGTAACCTGAGGCTAAGCATAGTCAAAGTCTTAGAAGTGTCGAGGACAAAAAAAAAAGTGGAGAAGATGTGTGGCTAGACAGTGGATCTAAAAATCAAGGGGTAGATATTTAAGTAAATATGGTCTAAAAGAAAAAAAAACATCTAATTTAAGGAAAGACTCATGATATTTATACGAAGCGAAAATTAAAGAAATATAAATATTATTATTATAAAGGCTTCTTTAATTGAAGTAATTTAAATTACTATTGCTTTATTATAGGAACTTTTAATATTTGTCTGTAGAAAAAAAATAAAACACAGGAAAAAAAAGAGATTAAAGAAAAAACCTGACCTATTTGAATGAAAAGAACAATAACACACATGCATGATAATTAACTACAATATGCCGAGAAACTTTAACTTTGAATGTCAAAAGACCAAAGAATGAGATTGTAGTGCGCAGTTCTTTAAAATTAAAGTTGGCAAATAAATGAAGAAGTACAAGTAGAAAAAAAAAAGAAATGAATAAAAGAATATATTAAAAACGTATTTGAAATTCAGATTAAAAAAAAAAAACTGTTTTTTTTAAAGTGGTAGCAGAAACGTTATGAAATGCATAAATATTGGGGATTTAAAGATATTATTATTGAGATTCACTTTAAAAATCATTTAGAGAGACAATTTTTTCTTAAAGTATTTCGGTTCCCAGTGCATTGACCAAAAGAAAAAAAAAATAAAGTTGCAGAAGCTCGTGTCAAGCCTCATGTCAACAAAATTTCCCGATAAGGAAATAATGTGCTCAATGAGCCACGCCGGTATTAAAAGAGGCAGAGAAAAAGTCCGAAATAAAAGGGAAACGGTTGATTTATTTTATTTTATTTTATTTTATTTTATTTAATTTAATTTAATTTAATTTAATTTTTATTTTTTTGGATACTTACCAAGTGGACAGAAAGTTCGAGGATCCATAAAGTGTCTTCAACAATACTTGGAATATACACGTGTATATACGGTATTAGTTTGTACGATATGATACATGAGGTCAAGTTGAGGGAAGAGAAGGAGAGAATATAGTAGAAAGAAACCATTTACACAAAGGTCTTTTAGATAGTGACTATTTATAAATAGTTATATATATTTGTATATTTATGGTGTTATTAAATGCTGGAGATACATATTGGACTGTTGCAAAAAAAAATTAGAAAGTAGTGATGAGAATTGCTTTTTGAGCGAAACACTTTTTTTTTTATTTTATTAGGCTAAGCCACCACCGGTCATATATACTAACAGCCACCGGACCAGAAATACCAAGAAGGGGAGAATTTAAGTCTGACTATGCATTGTCTGAGTCTTTAATGAACAATAATAATAAATAAATAAATAAATAAAAAAACCAAAGGCTGATTAATATCTCACGGGAACCGGGTACTTATATAAATTAATAAAAGGGAGTCATTTTATGTGAGCTCCAAAAAAAAAAAAAAAAAAAAAAAAAACTTTTGATTGAGATTTATACACCAAGTATAAGCGACCTATTATTTTTGGCCCATTATTTGATAACCGCACTTGATCATGATCATGAAAGTACTTAAAGAAAGTTACTTAGTTCATGACATACATACACACACACACTTTCTGTACCACTCAAAAATGCCTCAAAGAGCGGCGTGTATACTACTCAAGAGTATATATATTTAAACAATAGTACATCAAGTTCCGACTTGTATATAAGTCCACTGGGCTCCAAACAACGATTACATGGGCTTCAATGCTAGCTGTGGGTATACTTTTCAAAAGATGTGGATTGAACTGACTGGATACCCGACAGCTAGCATACAATTGCAGTTTCTGTACTTTAACTCGGGTATACTTGTATACTACTTGATACTTTTACTACCAAACTGGCCTTGCTGCCCTTACGCCGTGCACAGGCAAGTAAATAGCAGCATATGAGCTTGGAGGGGGGAGGGGGAAGGATTGTGTTTTAATCAAATGTAGTACTTCTATATAGAAATGTACGGTGACCTTGAATTATGGCTTGATATTTGGTATATACAATTTTTTTTTTATCTTCTGGAAGGAAGAAAAGAGAGGAAGGAAAGACCCAATACTTCAATGTCCATACACCTCCTTTTTACCGTCAGCCCAGTCCAGAACTTGTTCGGAATAGAGACTGAAGGTTTTGACCCCGAAGCCGGTTCGAAAGTTAATGATATCATTTATTCATTAAGACAAGACTTTTAAAAGCCACCTCTCCTCCATGTAATGTCATATCTTCTTCTTCTTCTTTTTCTTCTTCTACTACTACGGCTTTATGGGCGGGCTTTTTTTTTTTTTTTTTTTTTTTTTTTTTTCCCTCTAATCACCGTTGTCTTCGTCGTCGTCGTCCTATATTATATTAATTATTATAATTATTATAATTATATAACCTCCCAACATTACAATTTTTTTTTTTTTTTTTTCTTTCTTTCTTCTTTTCCCTTCACTACTACAACCCTATCACCTACCCCCATCAGTCTTCTTGTCAATAAATCTTCCGGTGTACGGGTCCTTTGATCTTGAACGCTCGTATTGTCAACAGACATCATGTCCGATGCTCCATTGCACCAACAGGTATATATTTGTCATGCTACTAAAAGGACAAACTGTTTCGGATCTACTCCCCCGGTTTGCTCCTCCTCCTCCTCCCTTTTTATATTTTATATTTTATTTTTATTTTAATTTTTTTTTCATCCCCGCTAATAGAAACTCTTCTTTTCTTTCTCATCATTCACTTTTATTCCTCTCATTCTCATCCAATTTCATTTCCTTTATAGACGTTGAAAAGCCCTCAAGACCTTGCTCTTTATACTTCAACTTCATCTACAACAATCACCCCACCAGGTTACATGTCCTCCACTCTTCTTCCACAGGCAGTCACCACCGATGCACAGGTAGCCCCATCGCTATCCACCCGTGGCTCTCCCACGGCCACCGTGTCGTCCCGTAGACCCATTACTGGCTCAGGTATGAGCCCGGCTTCGACCCTAGGCTACCCGGTCGTTACCACTAATACAGGATCTTCACATTCTCCTCTATCACCTTCTCCATCATCCTCTGTATCGTCAACCTCAGATGCGTCTTTTTCATCAGCTAACCAATACGCTGCCACTTCGAAACCACAGATTCCTACTTCATTGGCACCTGTATCTCGACCAGATTCTGTTGTGCCAACCCCAACAGATGCTCTCTTCCCAGAGTACAGCTCATCCTCATCCTTTTCATCTCTTACTTCTTCAGACACTGAAAACAGCTCAATCCAATTCAATAAACGATTCCAACTGAATGGAGATGACTCGTCTAGCTCTCAGATTTCGCCTACTAACTCGGATAACTATAATCATAATATTAGCAACAGAGCAACTCCTGATCACACAGTCACAGGAAGGTTAAATAACCTTTCTCTCCAAAACCATGGCTACTCAACCCCATCTTTTGAAACTGCTTTGGTCCCTCCTCCTGGTATCGTTACTGCATCTACATCAAGTCTTACGGCAAGATCATCTTCTGTTACTGGTGCCCCTAATCTCAATGGCACCCCTGCAATCCAAATCCCAGTGGCTGTCAATCATGATAGTGCCTATGCGTCATCCCCTTCTCCAGGTGTTGGCCGTTTCCCCCTACAGGAAACACCACCACAAACCTACCGAGGACAAGGCATTGAAGATGAACCTTTCCCTTACACCGGTTCTCCAAGTCAAACAAGTCCATCAGTGGCCCCTGTAACAAACAATACACCTTCACCATCTCCCTCACACAAGGCCCCATCCCGAACCCACTCAACACTTAGTCTCTTTTCCAAGCGACGAAATCGTGGAGATTCTTCATCAAGCATTTCTGTTGCTGCACCGACAAATTCTCAGCAAAGCTCTAACGGTGGCAGTCTGCGTACGCCGCACCCTTCGATGGTAGACTTGAAGCGGTTTTTCCAAAAGCCTTGGAAAAATAATGCAAGCAACTTTTCGGACCCCCCACCAGCCCCACCGGGCCGCTTTACTAGCAGTGCTAGCAGTAGCAACAGTAGCAGTAGCAGCAGCATTAATCATCATCACCATAATAGCCAACACATTTATGACTCTGAACGCACAGCATCTGCACCATCTACTCCTCCATTGCCTCCATCTGCTGGATCAACATCATCTACTGAATCTACATCTAGACACTCTTCGTTTTCAAAACGCACAAGTACATTTCTTGGAGGTGGTGGCGGCAGCAGCAGCAGCAGCAGCAGCAGTAGCAGCAGTAACAACAGCAGCACAATAGGTAGTGGTGGTGGTGGTTATGGCGACTCACACTCTAAAAAGACCTTGTCAAAGAGCTACGGTAAGCTTGGAAAGGCACTTGGCGAAGGTGCGGGTGGAAATGTGCGTTTGGTGACGGGCAAAAATGGCAAGATTTACGCAGTCAAGGAGTTTAGACAAAAGGCCAATTATGAAACTGCGCGCGATTACTCCAAGAAGGTGACGGGCGAGTACTGCATTGGTTTGACGCTAAAGCATCCTAACATCATTGAGACGGTGGACATTATTTACGAAACAGACAAAATTTACCAGGTTATGGAGTACTGCGAGTATGACTTGTTTGCAATTGTCATGTCGGGCAAAATGTCTAAGGAAGAGATTTACTGTGACTTTAAGCAAATGATCAATGGTGTCAAGTACATGCATGAGTGTGGTCTTGCTCACCGTGACTTGAAGCTTGACAATTGTGTCATCAATTCACAAGGCATTGTAAAGCTAATTGACTTTGGTTCTGCCGTGGTTTTCCGGTACCCTGAAACGGAAAAGATTCACGAAGCTTTGGGAGTTGTAGGCTCAGATCCTTATCTTGCGCCTGAGGTGATTACTCACATTAGATATGACCCTAGGCCAGTCGATGTGTGGTCTGCTGCCATTGTATTTTGTTGTATGCTTATGCGCAAGTTTCCTTGGAAGTCTCCTAGACTTTCGGACAATTCGTACAAGCAGTTTGCAGCTGGCATGGATGCCATGAAGAAGGAAGAGGAACTCCGTGAGGCCGAACGCAAGCGCCGTGAGGCCGATCCAACTGGTGTCACACTGCCTTTACCTGGCATGCCCAAGAGTGGACTTCTTGTTGACTCTGGCAGTCCTGATGATGACCCCTCAGCAGCTCACCGAGCGTCTACATATGGTCCTAACCGGTTACTCAAAAACCTTCCTCCAGAGACACACCATTTCATTTTGCGCATGCTTGACATTGAGCCTTTAACTCGTTATTCCATCTTTGATACCTGGAACGATTCTTGGTTTGCGGAAGTGCCGTTTTGCACAGTGACTAATGGTCGTCTTGTGTCTGCACCAGGCCATTCGCATACTACGGTGAATTTTGACGAGGCGCACATTGCCACCTTGGAGAAGAAGAACAAAAAGAAGAAGGAAAAGGAGAAATTGTGGTGAGCGTGAGCCAATTTGGCCGATGGGAAGTTTTTCTTGTTTGCCCATTTGTTGATATTTCTATAGCAAAAAAAAAAAAAAAAAAATCGGTTGCAATTTTCTCCACACATTTCAAAACTATCGTACCACTAGGCACTTGTAGACCACACCATACAAAAAAAAAATATTTAAGTGGAGATTTTTAACGATGAATTAAAACAAAGACTTCTTCAGACCTTAATTGTTGGCTTATAATTTGAAAGAAATGGGGTATATATAAGTATATAGTACTGTATTTGTGAGGAGTATCTGTAATGTAACTGTTACAATATATCCAATGTTAAAAAAAAAAAGACATGAATTTGGTTATAACCAAATATATCCCTAATTAGGGATATATATATATATACTCATATGAGTCAGCTCTCCACACTTGGGACTTTTCATATACTCATATAATTTTGAGTAACATTTAAGTTATTTATAGTAACTAAAACCAGGTAACCCATAATTAAAAATAATTCGTTTTTAAATTGCTGGGGGATCGATCATCTGTAACGGCGAAACCAGTGTAATGTCACAATAGTCTACGGTGTGTCTTGTTTGTTACTATGGCGAAAAAACTCATTCCAAAAGGTTCCAACGGATTTTTTTTTTTTTTTCTTCCAAACCTCCAAGTTTTTGCCTCCCCCCCTTTTTTTCTTCTTCCTTTTTTTTTCTATTTCACAAAATATCCACCTTTTGAAGATTATCAATTTCGACAACTGGAATTCTATTTAGAAATTAACTTGCATTCAAGATATATACATATCTATAGAAATCACACATGTTTAGCAAAGCGAAGAAGAAACTTCGCTTCACCGCAGAAGATATCAAAAACATCTTCCGTAAGAAGCAAACCCAGATCGAAGCCAATGCCGACGATGTCTTTTTCCAAAGAGCCTCCGGAACCGGCGTGGTGACCAGTGCATACATTAAAGACACCATTCGAAAGCTTTTAGCAGGAACTTCGATCAAGGACGACAGCAAGGTCTACAGAATCTCCATTGCCGACATTGCAACCATTCTTGATCTTGACAAGCAAACGACAATTAAATACGTCAAAGAAGTTGGTGAAGAATTTGGATCTGATATTTACTACAGCAATGAAACTTATCTGACAAAGTATGTTAAACAAAAATTGCGATTTTAAAAATTTTTTTTTTTTTTTTTTGGTTACAATTGATTCGGCTGAAAAATTTCATGCGGGCTCTCTCCACAAAATGGGAAAAAAAAGAAAAAATCAAAACAACTCAAAAAAAACTTTCTTCTACTCTCGAAAATTTTTTTTTTTTCATATTAATTAACATTAAAACTTTTTATTAGGAATGAATTGTTGCGCATTCAAGAAGCTCTTCTTGCCATTATTGCCGAATCTTCATACATTGAGTCTCTTGAGTTTGGTATCCGTGAGAAAATCGATCCTATTCTTGTCAAACGTGTAACCACCAAGATCAATACTACCGAGCCAAAGTCCTTAATTCTCGAGATTGAAAACCCTGCAATTGGCAACACTGAACTTTTGCTCATCTCAGAGGCCCGATTCAATTCTGCTAAAGAAAAGCTTTACGAGTATTTGAACTCTTTGGAAGCGTGAGTTTTTTTTATCAAAAATTTTTTTATTAACTTTCCCCTAACCCTTTAATATTAGCCCTACTTCTCTTTCCGAACTGTCTTTCCCTGATTCTGATGACCTCATTGATAAGCTTTTGGCCGATAATAAGATTCTTCCCGCTCTTGTAAAGTCGGTCCCTCAGGCCATTAAGGACGACAAGGTTAAGGGCAAGATTTCGGTTGAACCTGCCGCTGCTGAAGGCAAATTTTTCCCCCGCACTTACACTCTTAAGCTCCAAAAACAAAATATTGACATTCTCAAGGCCAACGGCGTCATTGCCACTACTGAATTCACTAAAACAGATGTTTCTAACATTGAAGAGTTTCTCACCGAAAACTTGGGATCTGCTGACAATTACCTTCTTCTTTCTGAAAATGTCGTGCTTCCATTTTATTACGAGAAGGTTGCGGCCGATATTGTAAATTCCGTCAAGTCTACTGGCTTCTCCGATATTGGTGCTGTTTTGTTTGTTGGTTTGACTTCAAGCTCTGTTGATCGTGAAGCGCTGCTCCAAAAGTCCGTTCTCCCCAAGGTTAAGACTGATTTGGCTGGTACTGCTGTTCAAAATATCTTTTTGAGTGAGCCTGCCACTACAAAGAAGGGTAATGTTTCTGAAGAACCTATCCCCGCATTTATTGCTACTATTGAGTTTTACCAAGGCATCAAGACCCAACTGGAAACCGCTCTTGCTGAGTCTTCAGCTGCTTCAGAGGCCAAGCGTATTGTGGCTAACGATGAGACATTGACTGAGCTTACTTCTTTGTATCAGGATAAGCTTAACGACAAAGTCACTGCAAATGACTTTAGCTCTTCTATTCTTAGCAAGGCTGAGTCTGGCGTTGTCAATGACAAGAAGATTAACAATTTTTTGCTTAAGACCAAGGCTCCTTCTGCTCTCATGTTGTACCTCGGTGGCCAGTTTTTGCCCGAAACTAAGGCTCACTACGAGACTGCTCTTTTGTCTACTACTGAAAAGTATGTCAAGGAGGAATATCTGACCAAATGGTATCCTGTTCTGCTTTACACCAACGCCATCATTGACTTGGTAAACTACGATCCCAAGGTTGGCAAGGCCTTCTTTTCCGATCTTTTTAGCCAGCTGACTCAAGAAAACCTTGTTTTGACTGCTGATGACGCAGCCCTCGCAACTGCAGCCAACAAGAAGAAGACTACTCCTGAAAGTGTTAAGGAACTTATTGAGGCTAAGATTAAGGCTGTGGATTCTGAGCTTACTGATGCCGATATTCTCAAGCATATTTCTGAGACTCGTGCGCGTTTGCTGGAGACCCTGGAGCACCTCATCTCACAAAGCATAACGGAGGCCGACACCGCATCCGTGCTTTTCTACGCATCTGTTGCTGTCTACGACAAGTGGCTGTTGGCTGACCCCAGCTCTGCTGTTGTTGGAGCCCTCAATATCAACCCCTCACTTGGAACCAAGCTGCTCAAGGTGCTTGACAAGCGCTTTGAGGTCCCTGCATTGGCAGCTGTGCGCGACTTGCTGAAGGAGGGTAAAGAGGTCCCTGAAGAGGTTTTGAATACTGTTGTGGCTCTTGTTTCTTCTGATTTTGAAAAGACTCCCTTGAAGCTCAAGCCTGAGGAGGTTCCTGTAGTTGAAGAAGAAAAGGTTGCTGAGCCTGTTGCTGCTGTTCAGGAGGAGAAGTCGGTGCCTGCCAACTCTGAGTCTACAGTCGATGTTGCTTCCGAAACTTCTACCGCTGTTGCTGCTACAGCCGCCACTGTTGCTGCTGCTACTACCGCTGCTATTGTTTCTAAGGAGATTGTTGAAGAGAAGAAGGATGTTGTTTCTGAGCCTGTTGCTGAGGAAAAGAAAGAAGCTGCCGAACCTAAAGAGGAAGCTTTGGAACCTGTTTCTGGGGAGAAGGAGGAAGCCACTGAACCTAAGGATGAAATTCCTGAGTTTGTTTCTGAGAAGAAGGAAGAAGCCGCTGAATCTAAGGAGGAAGTTGCTGAACTTATTTCTGAAGAGAAGCAGGAAGTTTCTGAGCCCGTCTCTGAGACCAAGGAGATTGTTGAGCCTGTTTTTGAAGAGAAGGAAGAAGTTGTCGAATCCAAGGAAGAGGTGGCTTCTGAGCCTGTTTCTGAGGAAAAGGAGGAGACCACTGAACCTAATGAGGACATTCCTGAGCCTGTTTCTGAGGAGAAGGAAGAAACCGCTGAATCTAAGGAGGAAGTTGCTGAATCTATTTCTGAAGAGAAGCAGGAGGTTTCTGAGCCCATCATTGAGTCAAAGAAGGAAGAGGTTGCTGAACCTATTTCTGAGGAGAAGGAGGAGATTGCTAAGCCTGTCTCTGATGCCAAGGAAATTGTTGAGCCTGTTTCTGAAGAAAAGGAAGTTCCTGAACCTATCACTAAAGAAAAAGAAGCCACTACTCCTGCTACTGAGAAGAAGGAGGAAAAGGCTACTGAAGAGAAGGCTGAGCCTATTTCTGAACAAAAGGCGGAAGAAGTTGTTTCTACTGAATCTACTTCTGATAAAAAGACAGAAGATATTGTTTCTGAATTTGTTTCTGAGAAAAAGACAAAAGAAGAGGAAGCAGTTACTGAGCAGGAGAAGGAAGAGGTTATTGCTCCTGTCTCCCAGGAAAAGACTGAATCTGAACCTGAGAAGACTGAGGAGGAGAAGATAGTTGATGAAAAGGCTGAGCCTGTTTCTGAAGAAGAGGAAAAGGCCATTGAGTCTAAAAAGACAGAGTCTGAGACCAAGACCAGTGACGAGGAGCCTACAAAGGAAACTACTGTTATCACTAATGAAGAAAAGGTTGAGGCAGTTTCTGAGGAAAAGTCTGTTGAGGAGAGTAAGCAACCCCAGGAGGAGAAATCTACAAAGGAGGTTGTTTCTGAGGAGCCTATTATTGCTTCCAGTACTGAGTTGACAGCTTCTGAGACTACTTCTGAAAAGACTCAGGCAGAAGGTGAGTCCTCTGATTCTTCGGAGTCTTCTGAGTCTGTGAAACCAGATTCTAGCGCTGAGGCTGAGGCTGAGGCTGAGGCTGAGGCTGAGGCCCAAGATGATGAAGATTCTGGTGAGGATAAGGCTTCAGCGACTTCATCGACCACCAATACGCCCAAGAAGAAGAAGAATAACAATAAGAAGGGTGGTAATAAGAAGGGTCGTTCCAAGAGACGCTGATGTGGAAGTTTCAATTGGGATAGAAGAAAAACCAAAAAAAAAAAAAAAAAATATTAGAAGAGATGGAAAAACTAAGCGAGATTAAATGTAAATAGTGTGGTTAGAATGATTTTAAAGGAGGAGTTTGATTAAAAATAAGAAAACTTGTGTACATTAATATAATATAATAATAATAATAGCAAAAAAAAAAAAGATTAATATTATCAGATTAACTACATTGATTGATTAACTAAAAATATCAAATTATACGAGAAGGGAGAGCTAATTGTGATTTTTTGAATAAAAGAAAAAAAAAAGTTTTTTTAGGACCTTTTTAATTGGATTGAGTACAGCGATTGGCCGGTGGTCGTAAAAATGAATTTTAATTTTTATTTTTTTTTTCTACACATTCAATTGTTTACTTTTAAAGTCATAAAAAAAAAAAAGAAAAAAAAAAAGGCTTTAGTGGGGATCCGTTCCACGATGTACAAGCTTTAAGTGAATATTTATGTACGGGGCTATTTTTTATTTTAAAAATTAAAAATTAAAAATTAAAAATTAAAAAAATTAAAAAATTAAAAAATTAAAAATTTGGGTGAAAATGGTGGTGGTGGTGGTGGTGGAGAAAAAAAAAATATATATATATATTTTTAATTTTTTCTGGAGATTAAAAAAAAAAAAAAAAAAGTGATGGTGCGCACGCGTGTGTGGTGGTGGTTGGGGTGGGAAATTTTAAATTATAAAAGCAGCCGGGATGCCCGCACTTTTTTTTTTTTTTTTTTTCCTTTCTCTTTCCCAACAACATTTTTTTTTTATACTATAACAAATTTTTTTTATTATTCTTCTAAAATCAATTTCTTAACGCGTTTTTCAATCTTCTCTTTCTTATCATCTATTTATATATTTATATTCATCAATCAAAATGTCCAAGAAAGAAGTTTCTGATACTGCAGTTGCCGCTGCTCCTGCTGATGCCTCAAAGACCAAGAGGGCTTCTCATCCATCCTATAAGGGTCAGTCTAAATAGAAAGAAATAACTACATTCATGCTGTTTTGTATAGCTGAGAAAAAAAAGTAAAACCTATTCTAACATGACGCGTCGTTTTTAATAGATATGATCAAGGAAGCAATCATTCAGGTTTGTTCTTTTTTTTTATTGTCATTGTTTTTTAAAAAATTTTAACGCGTCTTTTTTTTTTATCTAGCTTAAAGATCGCAAAGGTTCTAGGTAAGTCTTGATAATTTTTTTTTATAAATATACAAGAAACCAATTTATAATATTTTGCTAACTACTTTTCTAAAGTCGCCCTGCTCTTAAGAAATTCATTCAAACCAACTTCAAGATTGAGGCTCCCAACTTTGAATATCTTTTCAAGACTGCTCTGAATCGTGGTGTCACTCAGGGTGACTTTATTATGCCCAAGGGTAAGTAAAAAAACGCGTCTTTTTAATTTTTTTTTTTTTTTTAAAAAAATGTTTTTTTTGAAACCTCCCACAAAGCACATTCGTCTAACATTTTTAACAAGGTCCCTCTGGTACTGTAAAGCTAAACAAGAAGGAACCTGCTGAGAAGAAGTCTGCTCCTAAGAAGGCTGCTACCAAGAAGGCCACTATTGCTACCAAGAAGGCTTCTCCTAAAAAAACCGCCACTAAAAAGGATGATGCTGATGCTGAGGCTCCCGTGACTGAAGTTGCTGCTGCTTCTACTGAAAAGGAAAAGCCTGCTCCTAAGAAGAAGGAAGCAAAGAAGAAGGACTCTGCTGCTGCTTCTGCTGAAAAGGAAAAACCTGCTCCTAAGAAGAGAGAATCTAAGAAGTCTGCTGCTGCTGCTGCTGCTGCTGCTGCTTCTGCCACTGAGGCCACTGAGCCTAAGAAGGCTGAACCTAAAAAGAAGGACGCTGCTCCTAAGAAGGAAGCTAAAAAGGCTGCTCCTAAGAAGGAGACCAAAAAGGCTGCCCCCAAAAAGAAGGAAGCTACCGCTGACTCTGCTGCCGAAAAGACTTCTACCCCCAAGAAGACTGCTACCAAGAAGAAGGAGGCTGCTGCTGAAAAGGAAAAGGCTACTCCTAAGAAGGCCACTCCCAAGAAGAAGGAACCTACCCCCAAGAAACCCACTGCTGCTGATTCTGGTGTTTCTAAGCCTGCTCCACGACGAGGACGCTCTGCTGCTACCGCTGCTGTTGCTGCTGCTGTTGCTTCCGAATCTAAGGAAGATGAGGCTGCTGCTACTGAAGACTCTGCTAAGGAATCTACTGCCGCTGCAACTACTGAGGAAGCTACCACTGAAAAGTCGGCAGATGACTCTGCAGACGTGGTTTCTGTTGATGAGTCTACAGAAAAGGCTTCTGAGTCTGTGGACAAGGCTTAAATGACTTCAAATGTCATTTTCTTTGTTTGGTTTTCTTTTATTTGCTTGTTTTTTTCTTTGGAACTTTTGTCCACTTTATTATTTTTTTTTGACGTTTATGATTTTCAAGTAATTTTTTTTTCTCTTGTTTTTGCAACGCGATGAAAGCAACTGACATGAATTTCGCGTATTCTAATGGTCTTTTAATGATGTACGAGTTTTTATATATATATTTTTTTAATTAATGGCTTTAAAAATGTTTAATCGCGTTTTTTTAAAACTTATTAATTATTACTTATTACTTGCTACTTGCTACTTGCAACTTATAAAAAAACAAAAGTTTAATTAAATCATGTGATAATCATGTGATTTATTAGTTGGTTTCTTTTTTTTCCAAAAAGATTTCAAAACCTCCAAAAAAAATCAAGAAAATTTGGATTCTCACGGCGCGACTTTTTTTTATTTTTTTTTTTCCTTTCCATCACGACGCGTCTTTTTTTCAAGCGAAAAATATATTTGGGACTTAATTAACAATGTCCTACAATAATCCAAATATTCCTCAGTTTCAATCGCAACAGCTGCAGCAACAACAGCAACAGCAGCAGCAGCAGCAGCAGCAGCAGCAGCAGCAGCCGCAACCACCGCAATCACAACAGCAGCCACCTCAACAACAACAACAACAACCACAACAACCTTCTCAGGCTAATCTTATCTCCCAACTAACCCCCCAGCAGCAAGCCCAGTTGCGAGCCAGGTTTTTGCAGATCCATCAGCAATTTCCTAACGGTGTACCTCAAGAGGTTTTTATGCAGTTTCAGCGCGAGATTCAACAACAAGCTCGTCAAAATGCAAACTTCCATTCAGGTTCTCTGAGACCTCAGCAGTTGCAACAGCAGCCTGCTCAACAACAATCACCTGCACCACTTCCTATTTCTCAGCAGCAGCAGCAGCAGCACCAACAACAACAACAGCAGCAGCCACCGCAGTTCATTAATTCACCAGGGCAAATCCATTCCCAAGCCTCTACTCCTCATATTACACATAATACTGTGTACTCTAATCCATCGCCTGGAATGGCTCAACAGCAGAAGCCACAGGTTCCAGAGCAAAACCAGCCACCATCATCTTCATCTAATGTTGGCCGTCCTCCTTTTCAAAATATGCCCCCTCATTTTCAACAACAGCAGGCTCATGCTCAAATGCAAGCCCAAGTGCAAGCCCAAGTGCAAGCCCAAGTGCAAGCCCAAGTGCAAGCCCAAGTGCAAGCTCCAAAAATGTCACCAAAAATCCCGGTGTCTACAATCCCTCAGCGCCCATCCCAGCACATACCGCAACAACAATCACAACCTCAACAGCCTCCTTCTCAGGGCCAATCTCAACAACAGCAGCAGCAGCAGCAGCAGCAGATCCATAACCAGTTTCAGCCGCCTAACGCTGTTCCACCTCAAATCCAACACTTGTCACCACAAGTGCAGGCTTCGATAATGAACAAGCTTCAGAACGCAAAAGCTGCAGCTGGAAACAGACCTGGAGTGGGTGCACCGGCCGGTGCTCTTGGAATTGGTGGAGTACCTGGAAGTGTTCCGCCTAACCGACAACCTATGCCTGCACAACAACCCCCTCCCAAACAGCAGCAACAGCAAATGCCTACACCTCCTAACAAACCTCGGCAATCTCAACCAGGACCTCAAGTCCCACCTCCTGGAGCTCAATTCCATCCGCCAGGCCCTTCACAACCTGTTGGAGGCCCTGTTAGAGGCCCTGGAGGACCCCCTCCATCGGCAGCTAGACCAGGACCTTCTGGAGCTCAAGGTCCGCAAAGACCACCAATACCACAGATTCCTCCGGAACAACAACTTCCTCCTAAACCCATTGAGTTTTCCACGCCTGAGGAAATTCTTGAAGTTCTCAAGACTCTTCCACCTCCAGAAAACATGACAGCTGCTAAGGTGGAGAAATACCTGGAAGCTGACTCCGTATATGAACAGAACATGGATTATGTTCACGACCGTTTTAACCGCATCATCAAGCGTAAACGTACCGAACTACAATATTTTAACCAGGTTCTCACGGTGCGCCAACAAAAGCCTGGCTCACTGTTTAGCGGAGGATACATGGGCTACGGTAATGGATGGACTGGTAATCGGTTTGATTTGGAGCTTGTATACCCCAAAAAACGCAAGCGCAATAACAGGGCTTCCACAGAACCCAATCCAACTCAGCAACAGCTTGATACTGTTGCGGAACACACAGAAATACTTGTACCTATTCGTTTGGACATTGAAATGGATAAGTACCGGTTGCGTGATACTTTTACTTGGAACCTCAAGGAGGATTGTATACCCGTTAGTACTTTTGCCGAGAATCTTGTTGAGGACTACAACCTACCGTTATCATTGGCTTCCAATGTTACATCTTCAATGAATGAGCAAATCAAGGACTTTATACCCCATTCATATGTTGATATTTCGGAACCCAAATATGCAAACTCCAGTATGTATCGCGATGAAGACATGCGTATCAACATCAAACTAGACATTACTGTGGGACAACACAATCTTGTGGACCAGTTTGAATGGGATATCAATTGTGCAGAAAACAGTCCAGAAGAGTTTGCAGAAACCTTGTGCAAGGAGCTCGGGCTTTCCGGTGAATTCATGACAGCCATTGCACACTCGATCCGCGAACAACAAGAACTTTTTACAAAAACTCTTTACCTTATCCAGTACCCGTTTGATGGTACCCCTGTTGAGGACGAGGACTTGCGACGGGAGTTCAATCCACCCATTACCGTCGATTATCTACGCAACAAGTCACACCTCAAAGAATACTCACCCGCACTCTTTGAAATCTCAGAACTCGAGCTTGACCGCCAAGACAGAGACCGAGACCGCGACTCGCGCCGTAAGCGTCGTCAGGGCCGTGCCGGTCGTCGCAACGGTCCTGCCCTTCCAGACCTCCGTGAATCGCTGCGATCTTTCCGTACCCCTGTATACTCCACTACCCTGCCCGGTGGCCTTGACCGCAATGTCGAACTGCTTCGCCGTATGCGCCAAAAGGAGCTCTTTGGTGAAAATGACGATGGCATCATGCAGGTTTCTGCCTCTGGTAGCGGATCCGGCGTGCCTGGTGTATCTTCGGGTCCCAAACCCGTTGGTCGTCCACCATTGCACCGCAACCTTAATAATTTGGCTTATGCGGGTGGTTCGTATTATAGTGCGAGTGCGGTGTCGCATGTACCTGATCGGTTCATGGTTACTCTGAAGTTACCCCCACGTCTGCGGCCTTACCTTGAACAAATCAAGCGAACGAAATTTGCGTAGGAAGTGTATATTTTAGAAAGACAAGGTTAATTAAGAACTGAGAAGGAAAAAAAAAAAATTATATAAAAAAACGATTTCTAAAGAAAAAAAAAATAATAATAATTGAAAACATATAAAAGAAAATATCAATGGTGTGTATTTACATGGAAAGAAGCTTGACAGCCTCGTCAAGACCATTGTGCTTCTCGGAAAGCTTCTTCTTGATGTACTCAACAGCTTCAGAAAGGGGCACGTCAACACCCTTATCAGCGTCCTCACCGAGACCAAGCTCCTTGACCTTGACAACCTTGTTGGCAAACTCCTCCTGGCCAAGAATAACAGCGAACGGGCATCCAGTCTTTTCGGCAGCCTCAAACTGCTTCTGGGGCTTGGGCTTGGTCTTGTACAAGAACTCGGTCTCGATGCCACCCTCCCACAGGACCTTGGCAACCTCCATGCGCTCCTTAAGGAACCCGTCCCACTGTGGACCGCCACCAAATGCCATCACGTAAACCTGAGTCGAAGTTGGGCGGACCTTATCGATAAGACCCTCACGGGCCTTGATCAAGCTGAACAATCGTTCAATGCCAAACGAAACACCAACGCATGGAATTGATGCGTTCTTCTTTGAGCTGCCAGCAAACATGCCCACTAGGTTATCGTATCGGCCACCTGCCATGATGGAACCAACACCCACATTCTCCGAGTTGTCATCGTCTTCGAGCTCAGGGTTTTTCTTGGCCTTCTTCTTGTCCTTTTTTCCAGAAGCAGCAGCTTCAGTAGCTTCGCCGGCAGGCTTGGGGGGAGGAGCGGAAGCAGCTGTCACAGCTTCGTAAATAAGACCGGTATAATAGTCGAGACCACGGGCCAAAGACAAGTCAAAAGACAGGTAGTCAACAACATTAAAGGCAGTAAGGTATTCGTAAGCGGCAATCATATCTTTAACACCGGCAGCAGCAGAAGCATTGGACATGAGATGTTCGTCACCAGAAAGCTTGTCGAGAACCTCCTTAAAGTGACCCTTTATTCTAACATACCCGCCAATTTTATCGGCAACCTCTTCAGGCTGGTTCTTATCAACCACCATCTCCTTCTTGACCTCTTCCCAAGGAAGTTTGTCAAGCTTATCCACAGCAGAAGAGACCTTTCTGATATCCTCATCCTTGACACCACACAATTGGAAAATACCGTCCAGGATCTTTCTGTGGTTAACCTTTATGGTGAAATCCTTAATGTTCAAGGCTGTCAGACCCTCAACAGCAATGGAAAGAATCTCAGCATCAGGGACCATGGACTCGTAGTCACCAGCGATATCAAAATCGCACTGATAGAATTCACGCATGCGGCCCTTGGTCATAGCAGGCTGGTCGCGTCTGTAGACCTTGGCAATGTGGTATCTCTTAATTTGTTGGATGCCATTCATGGCGACAAAGCGTGCAAAGGGCACAGTCAAATCGTAACGCAGCGATGTCAGTTCACCACCTTGATCTTCAAGGTTGTAAATAAGCTTTGAGTCTTCACCGTACTTTCCGGACAAAATCTCGCGCAGTTCAAAAACCGGGGTATCGATTGTCACACCGCCATGACGCTTGAAAACCTTGGTCAGGGTGTCGAAAACAGCAGAGCGCAGGATCATGTCTTTATCAGACCAATCCTTGGTGCCCTTAGGGGTCTTAAGGGTGAACTGAGGAGCCTTTTCCTTCTTGTTGTTCTTCTTGGGAGCAGCAGCAGGAGCCACAGCGGCGGCAGCAGGAGCAGCAGCAGGAGCAGCAGGAGCAGCAGAAGCAGCAGGAGCAGTAGCTTGTTCAGCAGCAGACATGATAGAGCAGCTTTGGAAAGATCTAATAAAAACACGAGAAAATGATGGAATTGAAACTAGCCTGGGTACTCGAGAAATACAAGTCATACAGGAATTCAACAAAATCTGACAAAAAAAAAGGATGAATTAGGTCCTTGGACACTTTTTTTTTTTTTTTTTGAGACTTTCGGGGTTTCAAAGGTTTGTTGTTGATTTGATTTGGCTTGTCTTTCCCTGGAACAGAAAAATATATTCCCAGTGACTCTTTTAAAAGAAGAAAAATTTAATGAAGAAAACATGTTACACTTTTCATATTACATTTTATGAAAGGGTGTTACATTTTTATTTATGCAATCTATCACGTGAACATAATTGGCATACCCACCTTAATAATAAAAATCAATTTTTCATGAAATAAAATGTCCTCTCTTTATTGTGTACAGCCAAAATATCGATAAAAGGACACACTAAAAAAAAAAATGCTGGTAGGAATCACCACCTTAGCCTTCTGCGCTTACTTTTTCTGCGGTCCCGCACCCGTCAACCCTACCGACCCAACACTTCCTAAAACGCCCTTTGGTCTGTTGGTCCAATACCTTCCGCATAGACCATCTCCTCTTCAGCAGCTCACTCAGCTAAATCCGCGTCTCAAGGTAAATCTTGGTTTGAAGGCAAAAGGACGTTTAGGCAAATCTAGATTCCGCAGACTTGTTCCTAGACGAAAAAGACACACCGTCATTGCATGCAACCATAACTCCAGAGAACAGAACGCCCCTAGATTAAAACCATTTGAAACTGGTAAAAGACAAATTTTTTCAAAGCTCAAGCTTTGTAAAGCAGAAATATCAGTGCAAAAGGAAAATCAACAATCTATTAAGCATCACAAAGAATAATCTACAATGGATAACGTTAACGATATTATTCGCATGGTCACAAGAGGATTCTATGACATCCGAAGTGTACTTATTATGGACGCGTTAATCATTCATAAAGTGTAAGTATTCAAGCCCAATCATATTTTTCTTTTTTCAATGAGTATCTAACTTTTTTTTTTATCAAGTTTGAGTGACGATGACATGAGAATAATGCTCGATATTCAACAAAAGGAAATCAGAGGCCTTTGCTCAAAATTAAAAGAAGATCATATACTCAAAGAGTACGTGTTTGATAATGTATTATCTTTTTTAAAAAAAATATCTAAATTAACTATTAAATCCCAGCCATCTTCAAAAGGAAGAAGGAAATACATACCGACCAATCACAAAAACTTACTACTACATCCATTACACAGAAGCTGTGGATGCTATTAAATGGAAAGTCCACCAAACTGTGAAAAAAATGGAAGACCAAACGATTGCTGTATGTTGAACTAATTTTAGTAGAAAATTTCTACATCTAATGGCAATTTTTTTTTTCATTTTTTCTAGGACGCTTATCCTCAAGGTTACATTTGCCCACAGTGTGGTGAACGGTATTCTCAGCTCGACGCATTCGCCCTCAGTAACTCGCTTGGAGTCTTTATCTGTTCCATTTGCGATGGAGAACTCCAGGACGATGATACCAGTGACGAAGCCAAAGCAAAGCAGGCTACGCAAGCTAGACTTATGAGCCAGCTGCAACCCATCATTGATAGTTTGCGCCGCATTGATGATACCTCTATCCCAGACAATACCTTTCAAAGCTCGCTTAGCGAGGCCCGGCCTCCTCCGGCCAAGGTTCCACCAGGTCAATTTGCCAACGGTTTGTCTAATTTTTACGATACAGGCAACGGCTATGGTGGTACTTTCAACAATTACGCATCATCGTCCGCATCTCTAACGCAACAAAATGGTGCGGCTTCGCTCCAAGTCAACATCACTTCGAAATCTGAAACTGCAGCTCTGGAAAAACAGGCCCAAGAAGCAAAGGCCCGTCATGCCGAAGAAAACGCTCTGCCTACGTGGCATCTCGAAAGTACAGTTGGGAAAACAATGTACGCTGGAGACAGCGATATTGTCCCCGATATGTCGGGAGATACTAAGCATGATGACAAAAGCAAAATCAATTTGGATATTGATAACAAGGCTGGTATTATCACAGGCGCAGGTGCTACAGCTAATACAGAAGAAAACAATTCCGATATCGCCGCTTACTTTGCTCGTCTCGAGGCTGCTAAAAAAGCAGAAGAAGAGGAAGAAGAAGATGACGATGATGACGATGATGATGCTGATGATGCTGAGTTTGAAGATGTTGTTCCTGCAACTGAAACTAACACCAAACCAGCCTCTGCTCAAGATGATGATGACGACGACGACGATGATGATGATGATGATGATGAAGATGAAGAGTTTGAAGACATCTAATTAAAAGGAAATATAAATGTATAATTTTTTTTATGTTAGTCCGCATATAAAACTAAAAATTACTTAAATCTTTTCTCCACAAGATCAGCTCCCAGCTCATCGTATTCCTGCTTGGTAACCCATGTTGTATCATAGTGACCCAAGCTGGCAAGAATACTAGCACCCGTCCACACAGTGCTCTTTTGGGCAAGCTGATTGTTTTGCTGCAAAACTCTCATCTTCATGTTTGGATAAACTACCGCCAAGTCATTACTGATGCGCGTTGCCAATCCCTGCAGCAGTGTTGTTCCACCTGCTACAATCACATTATTGAGCAGAACACTCACTGTCTCAAGTGTAATTTCTGATTTCGCAAGACTCTGCTGAATTAATTCAGAAATTCCCAGCGATCCCTCAGGGATAGAAATGCCCTGAAGAGGGTACGCACTAGGCCTAAACAACGGCTCCACAGTTGAGAGTCGTTCGGCTGTTAGCAAAGTATTGAATCCATCAGGAAGCTCAAACGGCCGAGCCACTTTGCTCTGGTATGTGCCGATTTGTAATGGAGTATCGGAAACAAACGAAGTTGTCTCTTTGAACTCGTCCAGCAACCGATCAACCTCAAAATAATTATAACTCTCTGTCACATCCTTGTCGACAATGTCCGATCTGTAGCATGACTCATCAGGAGCCTGGTTAAGATCCAACTGAACCCGTTTCTTGATGCGGTATGGCGGCACAATGTTAATATTCTTACTTTTAAGCATATTGACAATATGAAGAGTTACAAAGTCGCCGGCAAATCGCGAATGTAAGCATCCATTAGAAATGATATTGCCGTCCAAAATGGGGGTCACAGTCGCCACACTCGAGCCAATGTCCACAATCAGTGCTGTAGGAAGCTCCGAGTTGTAAGCAGTGCATAAGGGGTTCTTGACGATTGTGAAAAGTGGCACGCCTAAATCTTCAAAAGCAATCTCAGCAGCCTTTGACTTATTGGAAGCTGGATTCCAAGTCGGCTCAGTTGTCGCCAGCGGCAACTCGTTGGTCGCGTCTTCTTCTACACCCAGCAGTTCATGGTAACAGTATCTCCAGTTGCGTGCCATTGCATCCCAATCTTGTACAATCCCATCAGCCATAGGTGCATAAATCTCTTTCCCGGAGTCAAAGCGATGCACGGCTCTGTCTCCGAAATAAAACTTGCCTTCGGCATCCTTGCCATACCGCGTGATAAAAACATGTCTAGGAAGTCCTTCTCCAGCGTATCCTACGCGAGTAAATGAGGACCCATTTTCAATGACAATAGCAGGTATTTCATCTGAATGGGGCACTTTATATGCTGAATTGCTGACGGGTATTATTGTGGGGTCCGTAGTCATTTGTTTTGATGTTTTTGATTTTTTTAAGGTGGTGCTAATGTTGCCAATTGTAATTTTTTTTGGAGGTGTATTTTTTTTTTTTTTCATAGGCACGCGTCGCGATATGGGATAAATATTACACAGGACCTAGATATACGCAATGCCGGAGCGAAATCGCAGGGTGCCCGAATTTTCACCTTTCACACGCAACAGCACATGAAATTTTTTTTTTCGCCGGGCTCGTACCTTTTTCCCCTTCTTCTTTTAAATAATCTTCAACCCCACAGTGGTCAAAAACCTTTAGCAATATTAAAATAAGTTTTTCACAATGGCTGCTGCTACTGCTCCTGCTCTTACCAAAAAGGTATGTTTAATGAATCAGAAAGTGTGCAAAAAATACTTGAAAAATTGAACTAACCTGTTTCTTTTTGATTTTAATTTCAGCCTGATCCATGGAAGTCGTTGGTGGCTGGTTCCATTGCCGGTGCCGTTGAAGGCGCTATCACAGTATGTTTATCGGGACGAGTGCCTCTTTGGGTTTCGATTTTTTTAAATGATAAATATTTGTTCTAACCAAGTTTTTATTTGTAATAGTATCCATTTGAGTTTGCTAAGACTCGTCTCCAACTCGTCGATAAATCTTCAACCGTAAGTCCTAATTTGTGCCTGAGAGAAATGTTACAAGGATTCATTGTTAACTGAATTTTTTTAGGCATCGCGAAACCCTTTGAAGCTTATTTTCACTACTGCTAAGTCTCAAGGTGTTTCTGCTCTTTACACAGGTTGCCCGGCTTTCATTGTCGGTAACACTTTTAAAGCCGGAGTCCGATTTTTGGGATTTGATGCCATTAAGGAGGCACTCCGTGATGACGAAGGCAATCTCTCTAAGACTCGTGGTGCTCTTGCTGGTCTTGGTGCTGGTGTTTTGGAATCTGTTGTTGCTGTCACTCCCTTTGAAACAATTAAAACCGCAATGATTGATGATCGTCAAAGTGCCAATCCCAAATACCAGGGCCTCTTCAAGGGAACTTCTAAGCTTATTAAGGATAAGGGCTTTTCCGGAATCTACAGAGGTCTTGTTCCCGTTACCATGAGACAGGCTGCCAATCAAATGGTCCGTCTTGGCTCTTACAATGCTATGAAATCCGTCATTCAAGATTCTAAACCTGATCCCACGGCTCCTCTTTCCTCTCTTGAGACTTTTGGTGTTGGTGCCATTGCTGGTATCATCACTGTTTATACCACTATGCCTCTTGATACCGTTAAAACTAGAATGCAAAGTCTTGAAGCTAAGTCCCAGTATAGAGGTACTCTTCATTGCTTCTACAGAGTTTTCAAGGAGGAAGGTCCTATCACTTTTTGGAAGGGAGCAACTCCCCGGTTAGGCCGTTTGATTCTTAGTGGTGGTATTGTTTTCACTATTTATGAAAAAGTCATTACTATTCTTAACTAAGGACCCGTTTATAACTCTGTAACCTTTTTTTTATATCAATAGATTAATTAAAAAAATCAAAATGCATATGATCGCTAAAAAAAAAAGAGTTTAGGTACAAGATTTAGCACATAAATTCTGATGAAATAATATCATTTAACCTAAAATACTATCTATCTATTTTTTTATTGTTAATCAACTTCTAGCCTGTAACCCAAAATTACCAATTATACTAATGACAGCAAGGTTGGATTCTATTTTTTTTAAAGCAAGATTTAGATAATATTTGGCTAGAAAAGCCGCATAAAAATATTTGTTAAAATTCTTAATTACTGAAGCCAACAAACTTATCTTGAATGCTTTAGTTTCCTATTTCATTAAGAAGTAAAAACGGTTAATCTTCCTATTCCAATGAGCAATTTTTTTCCACTGGTTTGCGTTCGCTTAAAGCAATATCATGTTTTTCAAACTGTGATGCGTTTTCATTTTAGTCACATCAACGGCCAACTAGCCAGAAAAGTGGTAGTGATATCACCAAACGTTTCTTATTGTTTGTTTGGGTTGTCGCAATAATCAGACAGTATTTTACATACCCACCAGCGGATCCTTTCCTTGTTTCAGAAGCTAGAAAACAAAAACTAACGAAGGAAACAATTTAGACCACCCGACGTCATTTTTCAAAGCTGGCTACCCACATCTTTCTTTTTCTCTCTCTCAAACATAATGAAAAATCTATTAACAAAGCTTATCCGTTACACATCTGTAAGAGAAATGTTGATGTAAAACTTATACAAAAAAAATGTCGTCATAAATCTATCTTTCAGTAAAATCCATTACTTGTTTCATTACTATTTTTTTACTATCAGTTTACAGAATTTACACCTGATTATTTGAAAGAAATTTTTATTGGTTTTACCCAGTTTTTTTTTTAAGTTGCTTGTAGTGGGGTTTTGTGTTATTTTTCATTTACCTTTTAAAAAATTAATGGCATCACTGTTGTTGTAATCCTATTGTTGGTTACAGGAAATTGATATGAATGATTTGCATATACAACTGTATATTTAAATTCTTTTAAGGATATCTTTGAAAAAAAATCACCTTTTTACATGCTGCGAGAATTTAATGATTTTTTTAAAAAAATATCATTTTAATTATTACAATTTCATGTGTATCTTAAAATGATGCAAGATATTATAACTGAAAAATATGTTCCTGAATGTTCCTGACCTCGGATTTAAGCCATGTGAACTGATTGATAGGCGTTGTTTTTACCAATTACTTTAGGAGGTCCAAAGAAAAGCAAATTGATGCTCTTGATTTCTTTATGCATGCATGTAAAAGATGTAAATGAATGTGGGGTCTTTAATAATCAAGCCTAATAACATCTGTTACTAATTGTATATTAAGGCAATTAACACTTTTATTATGAGTATTATATACTTTAGTTAAAAAAAATTTGAAAAAAAAGAAAGAAAAAGGTACCAATATTTCACTGATAATCAAAATAACATTAGCCAAGATCTAGGGAAACGAGCCTAAAAAAAGAAAACAAAAAGGTACCAATGAAAACTAGTCACAGTTGGGCAAAACAGTAAGCATTACTTTCTTTTTTTTTTCCTTTTTTATTTCAATACTGTGTTTCTTGCTTTTCTCAAAAAGAGTGATCTTACTGGAAAATTTTTTTATTTTTTTACTATTGATGAGGAATAATCCTGATTTAATGCTTTATGACGTATCAACATGAATCAACAAAGTAAATAATGTAAGAGTATAAAAAAACTGGCAATTGGTTTCTACATGATCCTATTTCAAGAAGTGTATAAATTGAGCAAAATTTCCTGTTTTCGTTTCATTTTTTTTTCTCATCTCATTTTTTAAAAATATCTAAAAAACATTACTATCCCAAAATTAATAGTATTCAACTTTACCTTCAACTTCGACAATGACTTCTCCAAATTCTGATTCGAATACATCTTTTCCCAACAACTCTGCCATCACCATGATAAATGATTTAAATGCGAATTACAGTACTCTCATTCTTTCAATAGACACACCACTTTCCCAAACAAAAGATTTACCTATTGAAATCATTCCAGTTATTCCAGTCAAACCACTATCCACCGCTTCATCTTCCGAAAGCTTAAAATGCACTACTTTAATTGGAAGCAAAACACTTTCTGCTGCCAGCTCACTAGAGACTTTAAAAGAAGACATTCAAAGCAACTATGCACTGGAAAAACTTTTGACACCAATTTCATCTACCAAGTCAATTCCCAAGCCTTCCTGGAAAAAATTCTTTCATGCAATTTCTCTGTGTGGTGCTGCATCATTGGCTGGTTTTTTATTTGGATATGATACTGGCACGATCTCAGGTTTTCTAGGTCTAGATGCTTTTAAGGAACGTTTCGGTGAACTTCTGGTTGATGGAACTTATATCATTCCTCCAATTAGGTCTGGTCTTTTTGTTAGTGCTGTGTGCATGGGCGGTCTTTTTGGTGGGCTCAGTGCCTCATATTTCGGTGAAAAATTTGGTCGAACCTGGAGTGCTATGGGCTACAGTGTAATCTACATTGCCGCTATTGTTCAGATGCTCTATGCAAAAGCTTGGCTACACTACTTTTTCGCTCGCATAATGATGGGCATCGCAATCGGATCTTATACTTTAATTGTTCCTATGCTTATTTCAGAGAGCTCGCCTAACTTTCTTCGTGAAATTAACGTGTCATTATTTCAACTTTTCATAACTCTTGGCATTCTTGCAGGTAATATTGCAGTTTTCAAGACTCATGATTATGAGGATATTACTTCCTATACACATCCAATTTACGTGGCCCTTGGTGTTGCGGCCACCTTTTTCTTCGTCATGCTCAAAATGCCTGAATCACCTCGCTACTTGCTTGCGCATAAAAAAATAATCAGGGCTAAAAACTCTATCGCTCGGTTCATGAATATGCGCCCTGATGACTTGTATGTTATTCGCGAGGTAGAAAATATTTACATGGCTGTTCAGGAGGACAAAAAAGCTGGCAACGCTTCTTGGACTGAATTAGTCACCGGCAAGCCTCGTATCTTTTATCGTGTTTTTGTTGGCACCATGATTCAAATTTTTCAGCTTTTCAGCGGCGCAAATTATTTTTTCTACTATGGCACACTTCTCTTCTCACAGATTGGCGGCTCCATGGACCAATTTGCAACACCCATCATCTTAAGTGGTGTCAATGTTGCTTGCACTCTACTTGGTCTTGTTATTGTTCATAAATTTTCTAGACGTTCCGTGCTTATTACTGGTGCTTTGGGAATGCTTATCTCGTTTGTTATTTTCACTATTCTTGGTACATGTTTTTTCCATCCAGATCTACTTGTTGAAGGGACTATTAATCAGCAATCTGTCAATATTGGCAAGGCCATGATCGCTTGTGCTTGTACATTCATTCTATTCTACGCTTCTACATGGGCCCCGTTGTCTTATGTTATATCTGCTGAACTTTTTCCTCAACGTGTACGCTCCAAGGCCATGAGTTTGGGCTTTTCCTCCAATTGGATTCTCAATATTTTTGTCAATCTCTTCACTCCATTCATTGTGAAGAAAATTGGATTTTCGATTGGCTTTATCTTCTCGGGCTGTCTTTTGGCTGCAACCCTATTTTCCTTCTTTTGTGTTCATGAAACTAAAGGTTTGACCTTGGAGCAAACCGATATCATGTATGCTTCGGGTGTCAGTGCCATTGAGTCTTCAATGAAAACTAAAAGGGAGGAGTTTCTCGCTCGCAGCTCAAAATCAAATGTGTAAATGTTTTTTTTCTGTTTTTGTTTTTGTTTTTTTTATTGGTTGACTTAGACATCTTATTTATGATGTCATGATTTGCGTGTATATAGGTTTACTGGCAAAATCATTTTGATTTTTGTATTATTATCTGTATTTTGTTAATTTTTAATAAAAAGTTATTGTTTTCAAACAATTTAAAAAGGAAGAGATTATTTCGTTAAATTATAACTTTATTAAAAAGGCAGGCATTAAATATAGATATTATTGCAATTGATTAAGTATTATTTAACGATAAATGAGCATTCAATCAACTTATCTTCAAGACAATATGACAACTTTGAAACAGACTATATCTTAAGTTTAAAAAAGAAATGAATTAAAATTTGAAATAGTTTTTTAAACGATTTATTTTTTTTACAAAATAATGAAGATTAATTTTTTGATTAGAGTTGAGGAACTAAATATTAGAATTCATAGAAAAAAAATTTGATTGGAGTTGAGGAACTAAATATTAGATAGAATTTTTTTTTGGAAAAAAAAACTTATAAAAGTAAAATATCTTTTGGATTAAACGATATGTCATAATCATAACTAGAGAAATCCGTCTGTTTGGTCAACTTATGTTTGAATTATTTAGTACTGGCTTTGAAGAGGCATTAATGATTAGAATCGATCGATTCTCTGTACCTGAAATTTTTAAGTTTAAAAAATAAAGAAAAAAACAATGTCAACAAGCTCACCCCTTTTTCCCCTTTTTTTAAGATTTCTTCAATTTAATGCTATTCCTTACTTTGATTTTTTTTGTTGATTTCTGGAGGAAACTATAACTATCAAGAGTGGTGAAGTGTTCCACATAGTAATAAGCTATCAGGGCATATCTTTAACTGGTAAATATTTTAAACCAGATTTAAAGTCAATTTTCTCACATCATCTTGATATTTCATGATTATGCTTTAAAAAATTTTCTCTTTTGAAAGCTGAAAAGAGTTTCCAAAATCAATTAATGTAAGAAATAATAAATATTTTACACAAGAAATGGTGGGCAAATACAGCAGTTTTCGGTTGCTGTGGCTAATTCTATAGCCAATTTATACTTGGATAATAAATCTGACACGACACTGACGTTCAAGCAAGGAGGTCAACCTTCTATTTGTTAGTAAAAAATTATTTTCTCACTTTAAATAATAGTACAATATTTATTCCTTTAATTTACCATACATCTTACAAAGCTTTTTCTTTCAAACTATGCCTTTTGTGGAGGTCTGAGGAGATCTCAGTTTATTTCATATTCGGAATATTCGAAATATCGGCTAGAAATTTGTTGGCCATTATTATTCCCTTCTCAAAAAAAAAAAAAAAAAAAAAAAAAAAAAAAACGTCCCCAACGATATTATCAAACCCTTAGCTGGTATTTTTAAAAATTATAAAAATTGAAAACTGGATATCTAACTCTTATTCTGACCACCCCACATTTAAGAATTTAATATATTAAAAAAAGTCTTTTAAAATTTTAAAAAAAATAAAACAAGTATATAAAAATGAGAAGTACGGGAATCGAACCCATGTCACTTGCTAACTAAATCTCTTTTGGAAGGCAAGTATGATAACCACTACACTAACTTCCCTTATCTCTAATTGATGAATTTTATCATTAATGAAAGTATTTAGAGTAAATATATTAATTTAATGCGCAGTATTAAAATTGTTTCCCAGAATACGGGGGGAAAGGGCTGGATGGTGTAAAGGGTAACACGTTCGCTCGATAGCGGAAGATACTGGGTTCGATTCCCAGAATACCCCCTTTTCCTGAGGATGTGTACGGGAGTATACACCTAGACTGAAAACCATAGGCTACCCTGGTTACAGGAATGCCGACTCTTCTGTACAGTCTAAATAGCCTGCAGGTGATTGCGGGCCGTATCTCTGGCGGAAGAGATTAAGAAATACATGGGCGTCCGTGAAGATAAGTGGAAATGGGTTGGGAAGGTTTTGGGACCGACAGACTGGTTCTCCCTGTTCCTCGTAAGCTGGCATCAGGGCCCATCTTCCGGGCTACCGGAGACGCACAGAACAGAAACCACCCGTACTAAAAAGGTACAAATGAAAACCGGCAAGTCACATAGTCAGACAATAAAAGGATAGCGCAGATGCTGATGTTATATAGTTCTATAACCCTTGAATAAAAACAAACAAACAAACAAATTCCCAGAATACATGGTGCTATTTGGCATCTTGGTGGCGTGCAAAAAGGTATGCGAGGGTCTGCAGTCAGATCACTGTATATTGCTTGCGTGAGACCAATTGTCGAATATGGCTTAGAAATTTGGCATCATAAAATCTTGAAAGGAGAAATCCACAAGTTGGAAGTGATGCAGAACATGGCTTTAAGAAGAATTATTGGTGCTTATCGCACAACTCCTATTGCGGTACTACAAAAGGAAGCTGGTATTATGCCATATAGTATTAGGCTAAAATTTATGGTGGCACGAAAAGCTATTCGTTTACACCTAAATATTAGCAAAACTAATCCTATTAATGGTCATTTGTTAACATTGATTGAGAAATCTCCAATTGCAAAGCTAACCACGCTTTACATGTTGGCGAAAGATGATAGAGACTATATGATTAAAAAGGATGAAAAACGAAAATGCAAGAGGGTTGAACCTCTTACACTGAAACAACAACAAAATCAGACGATTGGAATTTTGAAGAAACAAGCAATGGAAGAATGGAAAGAATTGTATTGGAACAGTAGTAAGGATCTGTGGTATCATAATATCACAGTGGAGTCGAAATGTACTGATAATCTTTCCAAAATGGTTACGGGAGTGATCATGAAGAAAGATAGTCGAAGGATCTTGAGTAATATTACTCAGTTTCGCACAGGCCATGGCAACTTTGGCGCATGGTTTAAAAAGTTTGGAATTGAAAAGGATAGTTACAACTGCAAATGTGGAGAGCTGGAAACAGTTCATCACATTTTAGTTGAGTGTCCTTTGCTTGAAGAGGAAAGAAAAGGACTGAAACGGATATCTCCAGAGATGGACATGTCGACTCTCTTAAACAGTTTAACTGGATTACAAGAGATTGTAAGCTTTATCTCTGCTTGGAGAGATTAAGAAATACAATTACAGCGTTGATGAAGACAAGTGGAGACAAGTTGGGAAGGTTTGGTTATTTTTAACCCCCTGTTCCTCGTAAGCTGGCATCAGGACTTATTTTCGGGCTGTTGGAGATGCAATGTTGAAGCCAAAATTAAAAGTTTATTATTAAAATGAAAAGATATAAAGTAGGAACAAGAAGGATGGCACAGATGCTGAAGTTATATAATTATATAGCCCTTGAATAAAAACAAACAAACAATTTTTAATAAAAAATAATAGCTACAAATGTAAACTTGACAAGCTGAAAAAATTGGGCACATTTCACTAAAGTGTCCTTTGCTGGATAAAAAAAAAAGGAAAAGATTGAAATGGATGTCTCCTAAGATAAAAATCTCGACTCATTTAAACAGTCTGAATAGCTTACAATTAACTGTAGCTTTATATTTGTTTGAAGTGATATAGTTATAAAATTAAAGAAATAATGAAGACAAATAAAAGTAAGTGGGGAATTTTTGGCCTTTAGTCACCTGCTCCTTATAAGATGGTATCAGGACTAATTTTTGGGATGTTGGGGATATAAATGTTGAAATCAAATTAAAATTATTTAGTGGAAACAGAAATATATATATAGTAGAGCAAAAAAGATAGTTTCGATCCTGATTTTTTATACTTCTAATACCCTTGAATAAAAACGAACGAACAATGAGATAAAGAAGAAAATAGATGGTTGGAGTATTGAAGAACACACTTTTTTGACCGCGAAAGATCTTGGATTCGAACCCCAGTTGATGCTATTTCCTGAAATGTGTGAAAGAAAAAGGACACTTGATCCCACAGGCTACTCTGGCTAATAAAAAAATGATTCTTCCATTCAGTCTAATTGGCTTGAAAATGGCTACTTGTAGTATATCTTGGGTAGAAGGTTAAGAAATACACGGGAATCGGTGAAGACAGGTGAAGACAGGTGAAAACGAGCTGGGGATATTTTGGGACTGGCATACTGGTTTTTCATGCTTTTAATAAGTTGGCTTCATGTCAAATCTTCGGAAATATTGATGGCCGACGGACCGAAACAACTTGTACTGAAAGGTACACCGATAGACGGCTAGTTGACAACTTTATGCAATTAAATGGGTAGTATTGGTGCCGATGATATATTTCATTCAAACCATAGAAATATATCATCGGCACCAATACTACCCATAAGCTTTTGAGGGAAAAAAATTTAATAAAAATAATCATTTTCTTTTGTTTAGCAAGCTAAAAAATTTTTAAAAAGAAATAAAGCAATTAAAAGAAAACAATGCATTGTCCGATAACGGTATCATTAAATCTGATGGTCTTTATGTTACATATGCTTAAGAATAAATTTTCATTTATTAAAGAAAATGAGCTCAAAAATGCTATATTTAGGTGTAGTTATTATTATTATTTCTGTTACTAAAAAAATGATTTTTTTCGAAAAATATATGATACACTAAAAATAAAAAGAAATTTATTAACATAATTAACTTTTAAAACGTCTTCTTTTTTCTTTTGTTTTTACAGTGTTACTCAAAAAAATTTTAATAAAAGCAATTGTTTATCATTTTCAATAGCAATTATAAAAAAATTATTTCACCTTTGTTCTGAAATTCTATAAGAAACAGTCCCCTTTTTTTTTTAATATTTTGTCAGTTTTTGTTCAAGCAGGTTTTCAGGGTGAACCCTGAAATTTAAACTGAAAAAAATTTTGATCCCTTAAAATTTCTGCTAAAGTAACTTGTGTTTTTTTTTTTGCTCGATTTACAATACAAAAGTTGATAATCACACACTATTTTATTCTTAAAAAAAAAGTTTTAGTTTCAACGTCCTCTTATTTAGTATCAAAATTAGTTTAACTAATACTAAGTATTCATAATCATTGAAATCGAGCTCTAATAACTAAATGGTTATTAATCACTCACTACCTACTACTCACTATGTACAATTAATTTTATATAAGAATACTATATAGTAGAATATTCTTTATGTATATATATAAGGCATATATGCCTTTTTAACAAAAATTCAAAGGCCTTTGAGAGGCTTTAGGGGTTATTATTGAATTAATTGACTTTTTTTCATCTAGTTATTGTGTAAAAAGAAATTATTAAATTTAGTGATTTAAAAAAAAAGTGAACATGCACTTTACTCAAAAGGTATTTGACCAAGAATCATTCCAAAGAATTGGGAAAAAGGAGGACGGAAGAATAAAGAAATCACGAAAAAGAAATGAAGGAAAAAGAAAAGAACCACTTTTAGTAAAGTTTTTTAATAAATCTCATTGTTAAACAATAACTTTAAGCTATCCATTTTTTTCAATGCTAAATTTATCAATTATGAATAATCATTCAGTTTCCATTATAATTAACATATATATAAATGTAAATATAAGTTTACTAAAGTATCATATCTATTTATTTGATAATTATAATATAATAAATTGCAAATTTTTCTATTAGTCAATTATGTAAATTTTTCAGTTTTTAGGTTTTTAATGTGTCTTCAAGGTCATTAATGTTAAGTAAGGTTCCTCGACAAAAGTACGTTTCTGTAATTTGGTGTTATGTCCGAAAAGCAACCCTATTGTTTAACTCTAAGCAAATAAGCGCCCCACTGTTCTATTGTGGTTTCTCGCAAATACCGGTGCTCTAAATACAGTCTTAAGATGCTGATAAAGTTTCGAAATGTGCTAGCAAACAGTGAAGCTTGGCAATAACGGACAAATAAATCTTATTTCATTCGAGGCTTGTTTTATTACCATCTAATTATTTCCAACTATTCATCATTTCTAATCTATCTTATCTGGTCCTATGGTCAAGTACTGTTAATTTACTTGCTCGTAGGTCCTGAAATTAATTTTTAAATGGCTTTACAAAGACTTATTTCTGATTCTTAACTATTTCGATCCCGATGGGCCATACTGGACCTTTCGCCTTCCTTTCTAGTCTTCCCCTTAAACCCATATCGTTATATATATTACAATTGAGGTCGGCCTTCCACAATCCATCCATTTATATTTATAATTTCAATATACATATTCATTCATAGGCTCTGAATCTACTAATAATACACTAGTACTAGTAATCAGCTGTTAATTTGAAAAAGCAAAAAATTTCATGTATGCTGAAGGTTGAAAATGTATTGCAGATCATATTTGGAGGAACGCCAAAACCCAAAAATGGCTTCTTTTTGTATGAGATACAAAAGGTGCCAGAGAAATTTTTTTAAAAAAAAAGTGCCCCCACACCTTTGTAGAATAGACTCCATTTTATACCAACACCACGTTGAAAGAATTTTAAGGCTAATAACGCTTATCTTATATTTGTTAAATATAACCGATATACAATTCTGCCTTAGTAAGTACAATAGGTACTAGCCAGAGGCCCAACAGGCAAGTTTTCAGCTGGTCATTTTTTTAAAAATTTTCAATTTACTTAATTTCAGACTCTATTCTATATAAATATAAAAAAAAATTAAAAAAAAGCTCCTTTCATTAGAAATTCAAAAAAAAAAAAAGGATTGTCTCTTTTTCATTTTTTTATTTCTTTCATTACTGTAGATCGTCCGAGTTTTTGATCCAAAGAAAACGATACCGACTGAGACTTCAACTGAGCCAGGAACATCCAAATCAAGTATTTTGCTTCCAAAAACTAAACACATTAAACTCAGGAGGGCGTCCATAGCTCCTTTAAAGAAGTCTTCCATCTTATGGTGCATTTTTGTGAACAGAAAATGACACTGTAAAATAAATTTGAGGGAAAAAAAATAATAGTAAAAAGAATTCAGTCAGCTGTAAAAGATAAAGTAAAGAAAAAAAACAGTATCAAGCATCTATTTTTGATCGCAATTTTTATGAACAAATTAATTCTTCTAAGAGAATCAGTAAAATTCCTACCAGAATCAATTAATCAAGTACACAGCCGTCAATTGGGCGTATTACAAGTGGTGTTGAGTTACATCAGAAATCAACTCTCTTTCCTATGAAAGTCATCACTACTAGATGGGCCCTTTTCTAATTTGAATGTTTCTTTTATTTTTTGTTTTTTGTTTTTTGTTTTTTGTTTTTTGTTTTTTGTTTTTTGTTTTTTGTTTTTTGTTTTTTGTTTTGAACTACCGACATCTGCTTTCCTACTTGCACTCACAATGCCTCAAAGAGCCTCAAGTTCTTAAGCAGCTTAAAGGACTTTGAGATGCTTTTTCTTTAAAGATTATCTCAAAGGAAAAACAAAAATTCAAAACCTGTTAGATAGTTTGAATTTTGCCTACAAAGTGAGTGGTACGATATCCGACATTCTTACTATAGGAAAACTTGTAAAAATGCTTGAAATTTCTAATAAAAGCAAAAAGTTTCAACTTTCTCGTCTTATCTCGTCTTATCTCGTTAGGAAGGTAGAATTGCGCATGATATGCAGGTTGAGGTTGATGCCAATGAGTTGAGGGGTGGTGATGGCATTGAACCCTTAGAATTTTGCAGCTTTCAAGATTTTCACAATAACTACATTAGAATGTTGGGAAGAGTCGGTTAAATACATGGTGACAACGTATGACCTGTAATTTATTTAGTTTTTTTACGAGTATAATATATTTCTTTTAGTTTATTCAATGTTAAAATGAAAAAGAAAAAAACTGTTTATGGAAATGATGATAAAAAAATATTAACATTAAAATTATTGTACAACATATTTATTACATAAATATTTTTTTTTATTTAACTTGCTCTGACTAAGTCTTTTATAATTGATTGTAAATATTTGAAAAGCTGCATGATTTAAAATTTAATATACGTAACGTATATTAACTTTTTGTTTTCTTAGTGTAGTGTAGCTAATTTTCAAGATGGGTGCTTTGGTGCCCTCAAAAAATGAAAAATGCACCATTATTGTTTCGGTGACAAGTACTAAACCCAAAGAAATGGAGCAGCAACTTTACGACAAGTGGTAGAATCATACTTGCAATGCATTTTTCTTATTTTTTTTTAATCAATTTTAAACTTATTAGAAAGTTAAAGATTTATGTGAAAAAGAAACGATAAACTTTTGTTTTTATCATTTGTTTTGTTTTGATATAATTAAATTTAAAGCGCCTTCCAAATAAAAAAGGAAAAAAAAATAATAATTTAAAAAAAAAATTAAAGTATAAAAAGAAACCGACACCAGCAGGATTTGAACCTGCGCGGGAAATCCCAACTGATAATCCCGAAGTGTATTCGAGTCAGTCGCCTTAACCACTCGGCCATAGTGCCAACAAATATATTAGTAAGCACCAGAGCTAGCATTTTGTTCGTAGTGATAAAGAAAAGCTTAAAATAAGAAAAAATTGGGCTGGTATTATTGGGAAGGTTTGGTTATTTTTAACCCCCTGTTCCTCGTAAGCTGGCATTAGGACTTATTTTCGGGCTGTTGGAGATGCAATGTTGAAGCCAAAATTAAAAGTTTATTATGAAAATGAAAAGATATATAGTGTGGACAAAAAGGATAGCGCAGATGCTGATGTTATATAATTCTATAACCCTTGAATAAAAACAAACAAACAAACAAACGGGCTGGTATTATTGAAAATCACATTTAAGTGAACATAAATACATTTATTTTAACTCTCAGTTCCTGTTCACCCTGGAGACTAAGCAAGGGAAAGAGGGTACATCTCATCCATACCCCCAGGCTACCCTGTCAAACTGGAAAGCTAAATCTTTATGATCAATCTAATAAGCTTACAGGTGACTACCTATTGTATCTCTAACCTAGATGTTTCATAAATACGCAGGTGTTGGTGAAGAATCGTGAAAATGGGTCGAGTGAGTTTGGGAAGAACAGACTGGTTTTCCCTGCTTTTCGTAAGTTGGTATCAAGGCACATCCTCCAAGTCATAGGAGACTCACCAACCAAACCCCGTATTGAAAAAGGCATACCAATAAACAGCAAGTCGCTGACGTTATGAAAATAAAAGGATAGCGTTGATGTTAATATTAATAATACTTTTACAACTCTTTAATAAAAACAAGCTAGAAATTTAAAAAAGCGTCAAGTCCATCTCCATATCAAATTATTTAACGTGTTTTTTTACGACAAAGTATTTCAAATAAAAAAAAATTCAAATTAATTATTAAAAAAGTTGAAATGATGTCATTGTATAATGTTATAACTTTTTCTTAAATAAAAATGCAAGTCCAAGTCCGTTTGAAAAAGGGGAAATGAAAAAAAATTAAAAGGAAAAAATGTGGGAGAAGCGCAAAAAAATGGGTATCAGAGGTATTTTTTTTTAAAAAAAATGCAATTACACCATATTGTCAGCATCCTCAGGGTCCACAATAACACTTGAAGGTGATTGAACAATCATCATTTCCATGCGACGCACACGAACATAGTCAAAGATGGACTTTGCGACGATACAAAAACCAAGGACCATGAGAATAATAGATATCCAGCCAGAAGCCGATGAAGAGGGGTCTCCAGAACTAGTGGTAGTGACTGAAGATGCAGCAATGGCAGCCTTATGATAGGAGCCACTTATGTCGTCATGGTTAGATGAAAGGTCATAATTGTTTGGGTCTGAAGGTTCAAATTCACGGTCAGGTCCAGTGGGCGCTCCCGAAGATGAAGAACTTGAACCATTAATAGATGGCTGTAAATAAAATCCATACTGAAAGAGAGTGAAGCCGAGACCAGCCCGGGAGCCGTGCTTGGCGGCGTGAGAAGTGTGGAGTAGGTATGTAAGCAAAAAGCCAACAAACTGAAACGCGGCCGAGACCATCATGTTCCAGATAAAGTTGATGGGAGAACCGACTGGAAGGCCATCAATAAAAATTTCGTCCGAGTATCCAGGTGCCATAATAGTAGTTTCCCAGTAGAGAGGAGCGGCATCTGCGGCAGCCTCTTCGTATGTGGGGGGTACATCACTATCCTCAGGCTTTTCAGTTTCAGGCTTAGCTGTAATGTTGTTGAAAACACCATCATTTTGGTTATTGAAAGAAAGACTGCGTGTAGCTTGGGAAGTGTTACGGCGCCAGGAAAATAAACCGCGGTTAAAAAATCCACCATTGCCACCCATATCCCCTCTGTTCTGCGCAGCAGAAGCAGGAATGGGTTGCGATGTGGAAGATGGTGAAGGTGATGGTAACAAAAGATGTGAACTATGAGAAGATGAAATGTGGTCTTGAGTAGTGATAGAGGAAGAAGAAGAAGAGGAGGAGGAGGAGGTTGCGTCTGTCGCTGTGTTAACAGCTGATAAAGAAGAAGGTGCCGAAGACGAAGAAGGCAAGTCCTGCATGGGTATTGGGTCTTCCGAAGAAGCATGTTCAAGAGAAACGTAGGTACCAGAGCTTGCTGGGCCTCGAGAGAAAATCTTATTGCGAAGGCGTTGTGCAGTTGATGGGCCTCCCGACGAACTTGCAGAACTGTTGTTGCCAGCTCCTGCCGTCGGTTCTATACGGCGGTCGTCCCAGTCCTCTGAGTCCACGTCGCTGTCACTAAAACCACCAAACGCGTCTTCCATTAGCATATCGTGATCTTCCTCTGCATCACTGTGGTCATTTGTGCGACGAGGGGTTTTGCGTGCTGGCCTCGAGGAATTGTTTGTAACATGGGACTCATTATCGCTGTCGTCAGATGGTGCAGAGAATAGCACCTCTTTATTGGAGTTGCTAGTGTTTTGTGGTAACTGTGAGGGATTTGTTAGAGCTGCTAAGTTCATTTGCTTTAAATGGTATGATGAAATGTTTTTAAGTACTTACTCTGTCGTAAGTCATTTCTAGAGAAATGTACTAGTATATATATATATGTTTATATCTATATGATGGTTGAAATGGGTTTATAAATGTGAAAAAATTTGGTAGTGAATAGTAAAAAAAAAAAAAAAAAAAATGACCAGAAATTTATTATACAAGGGGCAAACCTCTTTTTATTTTAAGTGAAAAAGGGAAACCTGGCGGGTGCACACTCGTAAAAACAAAAAACAAAATACGCAATTAAGACTGGATTTGGAAAGGCACAAGCTGACTCAGCCGCGTTATACCGTACAAAAAAGGTTACCCGGACGTGGCTTAGTGTGTAATTTTTTTTATGGAAGTTATTTGGAGTTCTTATTCTTGTACTTTCCAGTTGGATCAAGGATGATCGAAAAGCATCTGGACTGAAAAAAAAAAAAAATAAAATAAATCTAAAGTACTTGCTTCAAGCAAATTTCTATTAACAAGAGAAAAAGACGAAAAAAAAAAAACAAGATTAATAAAATTAAAGGAAATCGTTTCATCGTAATAAATAAATAAAAATCATTTAAATACCGGAAGACTTGGGTGAAGCATCCGGCGACCCAAGTACCGCATTTTTAAGTCGAGAAAAGGCAGACATAGAAGTCTCTGCAACTTCTACAGGCTTATCCTTCTTCTGCTCAGCAGTAGATGTGCTAGCACTAGCACTAGCACTAGCACCAGAACCGGAGCCTAAAGTAAAATGGTTTGCTGGAACTCCATGTGCAGGCAGAACAGGCAAAGTGCGGGGATTGTTGAGAGTACGGGACGTGTCTGCGAGCAGACGACGGCCCCACGTGGACGCGGCTGGGTCGCCAGTTTCGTCGCGGGCCTGTTTGAGGAAGGGAATGAGCGCGGTGCCGCCCGTTCCCCGTTGTGTCTCGCTGTCGGCGGCCGCAAGACCCTCGCGCTTGGTATCGCCTGGGGTTGTGACAGCAGTCTTTTTTGGAACCAGTTTCTGTGCCTTGCGGGCCTGGATGATGATATAGCGCGACACAATTTGAATGTGTTTATCACGGAATGTGCGCAGCATGGCCAGACACGCATCGTACGAAATGACAAGTGCAGGTGTTTCTTCAGAGTGAGCCACAACGTAGTCGCGAATATGCGATACACGAGTCAGAGCCTCGAGAAACTCTCGATGCTTTCGAGGCATGTACTTGCGCATTTCATGAATGAAATTGGCACTTTTTTGTTTTTCTTCAGGTGTAGCAGTGTCATGCTCTGTGGTTTTTTGAGTAGGCAAAATGCCATGGGTACTTCTGCGGTGACCAGTGGGGTAATGCTCAACATTAAGTAGAATGTCGAGAGCCTGAATGAGTGATGACTGAGCGTTTGAGCCTCCAGAAATTTGGCGGTACTCCTTTTCGTCACCGTAACGCACACCCTTGGGCAAACCAGCATCTTCCATATTTTTCCAGCCTGCCAGATATGGCCGGATACGAAAGTAAAAAGTATGGGGGTCACACATTTCAAACATGCGAGCGAGTGTAGTTGTAAGACTGTCAATTGCCTCAGCGAGGGCCTGGAGGTGCTTAACAACATCCTCGGACTCACCATTCCGACACGCAGCAATAGCATCAATACCATGAGTTAGACAGGGTGCACCCTCACGCTCAATGGCTGTGGAGACGAGGTAGAACCATGACTCATCGTATGATCCTGTAAAAGTCAAGAGTGTAGTGAGGTTTGCCAGCGACCACTGGGCTGGCGGAATATCTGGATATATGGTACGAAAGTTCCATAAGCACACACAGGCATAAGAAGTAATGGGAGGCAGATCGAAATGGGCCGCAGTAGCTAGCCATGGGTCGGCCAACTGTTGTGGGAGATGGTCGCGGGGCTGGTCTCCGGCCCATACATAAGCGTGAGCCAAAAAGGATAGAATCATACATGCGCGACGCCACTCGGGCTCGGAGCTCAGGCGTGCGGTGGTCAGTAAAGGCATGCGAGTGTCGACATAGTCTCGAACCTGACGTGTCATGACAAATGCTGGTAGGCTTTGAGCAATGGTTTCCCATGGTTCGTAGTAAGGATCAAGAAGACGTTCCAAAGGTGGGTCATCTGGAAGAAACCCCGCAACTGGCGAGACATCGTAGTCTTGAAGATTTGGGATTGGATGAAGCATATCTTTGAGTATTTAGATATAAATGGGAAATTAATATTTTTAATTGTTAAAAAAAAAGAAATAAATAGACAAGCCCTAAATGGTGATAAAGAAGAAATTTATTTTTGCTTATTCCCTTGTGAGGGGGGAGGGGAGGAAGTTGAAGAGATTGGCATGGAACCAGAAAGAAGTGGAGTGGTTGAGTCAGTAATCACGTGTGTTTCATGCGATAACCGGCGAGTCGTTAAGATCCAAATTTTTTTTATTTTTTTATTTTTATTTTTTTTGGCGCGTATACGGACAATGAGAGGTTTTATATAAAAGAATAATGAAAAAAAAAAGTATGCAAATTATGATATTTATATATGTATATATAGAGAACGAGAGATAGGCATCGAGACAAAAAGAAGGACCAGGCTCATTATAGTAATAATATAATAATAATTGTTGAAGTAAAAAGGTGGAATAATAATAATAATAAGAAAAAAAAGTTTAAAAAAGTTTTAAAAAAAAACATAGGAGCAAGGTATATCATCAGTCAGTCATTTCCTACTGCTGTACCTTCTCTATCTAGTCCTCACTGACAGGGGTGGCATATCCTGGGACTGAGATGCGGAGACGATGGCTTGAAGGAAGCTTTGGAATCACGACAAATAGACAAGCCAGGCAGTTGAGCACAAACATGGTAATATCATAGTGAGTATAGTGAGTGGAAATGAGAAAGAGACCAATGGGAACTCCCAGCAGAAACTTTTTTGCCGGAGTGTATTGGTCACCATCGTCAATCTGTTCCCACATGGTAAGATTATCGTAGGCACCGCCATTAAACTCAAATGGTATTCCCTTTACATAGTGAAACATAACATATGAGCCAGTTACGTAGGTGATGTTTGTGAGAGTCCAACTGAGTTCCTGGGTGACTCCAGGCAGAAGGTCATAGAAGACCTTTAACATGACGATAACGACAATGTGTATAACCCAAGCACCTAAAGAATAATATATTAAGTTAGTATTTTAAAAGAACAAAAAAAAAAAAGAGAGCCGCATTAAAAAAAAAGAAGGTATTTATTTTACTCACCCTTGTTATTAACCCAGTCAGCATTCAGATTTGGAAGAGAAGCCTGGTCAGTCTGTTCTTCAATGGTTTCAGGTTCAATATGGTTAATTATACTAGAAGAGCGGCGTCGATTGTGGCCAGGCTTTTCAGAAACAGAGAGCGATGCAGTCATGATGAGATTTTTTTTAGTAGTTGTGATGAGAAGTGAGAGGAAAAAAAAAAGTTAGGGTGGCGATGATCAATGAAGAAATGAGTTTGATCTGGTATTAGAAAGGAGTCTAAAGAAGAAATGCAGATCTTTAGATATGGTATTTCAGAAAAAAAGACTTCTTGGAATTTCGTGTCTTTTGGTAAAAAAAAAAAAAAAAAAAAAAGGAGGAGGTGTTGAATAGATTTGTTGTTGTTGTTGTTGTGATGTTGGGAAAAGAGAAAAGAAAAGTTCTGGAATGGGGAGGCTTTTTCTCTCTCATTTTATTTATTTATTTATTTTTTTTTTTTGTGTGTGGACCAGGGGAAAATTTTTTTTTTTTTTAACTTAGCTCAGTTACTGCTGGTAAAATATACACAGCCTCGGGAAGGGAGGCGACTTACCACTAACAACACCACTAACAATACCACTAACAATACCCATCAAAGTACCGTAAGTTCCGCGTCAAACCAATGCTTTTATTTATTATTAAATTTTTTTTCTTCCATGAACAAAATATATTGAACAAAAGCGCGCGATTCTGAATGGAATCGAGTAAATATAAAGTCAGACATTGAGAATCTGAGCTGCTAATAGTGATTCAGCCCCAGTCAGAATTTCGATTTCTGGTGTCTAACCATCGGGCTGCTTCTTCTTCTTTTTTCTGCTGCTACCTCCACTTGCTATTACTACTACTACTGCTGCTGCTGCTGCTGCTGCTGCTACTACTACTACTGCTACTACTGCTATTAATTCTACCAACTAGATCACTGCCACCCAAAGTTCGTTGTTTATTTAAATTGTATGAAAGCAACAGACTTTTCCGCCTTTGAACCTTAATTAACTTTATCTAACACAAATTTGTGTTAGATAGCAATCTTCATCACCAGACATTAAGACATACAGCCTACCATAAGTCTTTGTTTTGACAAGTATGTTATCAATACTTGTTACCAGTAGGTAATTTAAAAGAAAAGAGTTGGAGGGGGGGGAGGTTTCTTAGTGCTCACTACTATTGCGAAACTTGCTACTACTGCTGACTTCAAAATCCCCTCCCCTCATTTATTCATATACTTTAATGATATTTTAAACAATCAGCATGAATTCCACAGATATAAATCTTGTCAGTTTTTCCCTGTTTTTAGATATATTATTCCGTCAAATGAAAAAAAAAGAAAAAGAAAAACGGCATTGTTCAAAAATTTTCATGCGATTTTTGAGAAATGATGTATGTTTTATTCATATAGTTGACCAGCCGCATGTGTGTCTTTCTTAAAGTAGTTTACAACATTTGAAATCTTCAGAAAAAAAAAATAGCAAGGACAAAATAAAAAAAAATAAAAAAAATATATATTTTGATATATCACTGACGTCTTCATTTTCTTAAAATAAAAGGCCTGGATATTCTGTAAGTACCGGCTAAGCCTTTTTAAACAAAAAAAAAATAAAATAAAAAAAAAAAACGGGTTGCTGGAACATCTTAAAATACCGGAAATTTTCTTTCCTTTGGAGTTCCAGTTTTTTGGTGAATATAAAATCCCAATTCCTGTAGGGTACATGCCTCGGTTAACCTGATTCAGCCGTACAAGGAGTCATAGGGTTAGTTTCACATGCATCCTATTACAAATAATGACACATGATTAATAATTATTACTAACAATCTTTACACGTGACTATAGATAATCATGTGACTGATTCTTTTTTTTGGAGGGATGGGGAGGCTCAATATCATATCGCACCTTGGTGGTTATTTAGTCTTAGAATACCATATTAAACACAATAACCTCAAAGGCCCTCATTCTAATCTCTTAATTATTATTATTTTTTTTATTTTTTTTTTTTTTTTTTTGGTCCCCAAACCTCCAGTAATCCCCTCTTCTCTGCCCACTTGCTTTCATTACTACTAATAAGCTTATCTACTTGACAACCCGTGTCCCGAGTCCCGGTTCATCAACTACCAACATAAACGCAATATCATACCGTTCCGAATTATCATTTACACTCATCCATCTATCCATCGATTCGATTCGATTCGATTCGATTTGAATTTTTTTTTATCACAGCCCTCCCTGTTTTTTTTTTTTTGTTAACCCTACTTATTTCCATTTAGTTTAATAATAAAAAAAAAACACCTTAGTGGCCTTTACGCGCTGATCTGAGTACCTTTGTAGCTGGTTTGGTCTGCACTGTCTACAATACCATGCTTCTAATGAGATAGTAACAGGTAAAAAAAAATTTTTTTTGTTAATTTTTAAATTCTATCAATACTCATCTATAGACCCACTTTTACTCCCATCTTTCTTAAGTATTTAAAAAGATAGACCTTTGCAGTCACTTTCGTCGTAATGATAAATGTCACAGACTTGCCAGAGAACCTTTCGTCTGTTCTACCTCTTGAGCCCTTGCACCCTCCTTTATCATCCTCTTCTTCCTTTACAACTTCTATTTGCTGTCGACCAGTAGACTGTTCATCATCTTCATCATCGTTATCTTCAGCCTCTGCTTGTTTTATAAACGCGGCTCATAATCATCTCGCTTCAATTGTGCAATCATCAACAAACTTGTCATCAATACCACATCAATTTCAACAGCAGCAGCCGCAGCAGCAGCAACAACAACCTATAGACTCTTCAGTTCTTTGCTCACTAGTCCATCATTGCGATCCATGCGATCCATGCGATCCATGCAATTCTTGTGATCCTTGTGACCCTTGTGACCCTTGTGACCCCTGTGAACCTTGCGAGCCTTGTGAACCCTGCGAGCCTTGCGAGCCTTGCGAGCCTTGCGAGCCTTGCGAGCCTTGCGAGCCTTGCGAACCTTGCGAACCATGCTTTGACAAGGATCATTCAACATTTTACGAAGAGTTTTGCAAAATTTGCGATCCATCAATATTTACTCATTTTCCCAGTTCTCAAGCACCTCCTCCACCCTCATCATCATCATCATCGTCGCTGTCTTCTTCTTCTTCTTCTTTAATGCACTCACAAATTTGTTGCGATTCGGCCCTCTTTCAGCCGGAACAGCAACAGCAGCAACAACAACAGCATCAACAACAACACCAACTAGAATCATCTAATCTTCATTCCCATTCTCATTCTCATGTTTCATATAACCATTCACATTCTCCTCCCCATTCTCTTTCTCATATTCATTCTCATTCTCATTCTCATTCTCATTCTCATTCCCATTCCCATTTTCAAAGTTCCAATTGTTCACACTCTCAGAACTCTAATGGCTCTCATTCTTACCATTCTCATCACCCACATTCTCATTCTCATCAATTTACTCAGTGTGCTAATGTAATACAGCAACATCCAGTGTCCCCTCCAACTCTTTCCTGTTGCAAAGAATGTCAGGAAGCTGCTATTTGTCACAACCTTGAAAAAGCTGTCTGTCTCAATCGCATAAAACCATGCCCTTCGCAAGCTATCTTTCCTCAACTCCCATATGAGGCTACACATCACCAAAATCATTCTCATATCCATTACAATCATAAACCTTCCTCATTGGCAGAAAGAACTCTAACATCAATCGAAAATCTTGATGTCAAATCTCCTCATTCTCCTTTGCCAAGCTCAAATCATTCAAATAATATCTCTCAAGTGTTGACTGAACTTTCCTCATCCTCTTCTCTTCAGCCTCGATATAGCTCCAGTCGCATACAACAGCAACCTCCTCCTCTTAAAAAAATTCGTCTTCCTGATACTGAATTACCTTTTAAATCTGCATCATTTCCCGCTACTATCAACAAAGAACAGAAAACAGGGGGGTCTCAGCAATATTCTAAGTTTCTCAGTCCCGATCAATCCTCAAATCCACAGGCCATTGGAACTGAATCAAACACTCGTAAACGCTCTGCAGATGAGATTTTTGAAAAGCCTAAACAAGACGAACCTGTCAATTTCTACTGTCATTGGGGTGATGGTTGCGATACAGCAAAGTTTTCTACTGAAATTGATCTTGACTTGCATTTACGTTCGCAACACTTGAAACCATTTGAGCAAAATTCTTTAAATCAGAATCTTCCTCCTCTTCCTCCTCCTCCTACATCATCAATCACAAGTTTTCCGAAGCCTAGTACTAAGGATACTGCAGCTATTGACAATAAATTTGTGGTCTGCAACTGGGACTCTTGTAATCTGGAACTTTCTGAGTTTGATAGCCTTCTTGATCATATAAAAAAGGATCATGGGCAATCTTACTCACGCTTTCCCCATAGTGAGTGCAACCATAATCATGTCGAGAATAAAAATAATGAAAAACCTCTTCAGTGTTTGTGGCAAAGTTGCTCCTTCAATACCGGCAATTTTGACCTTTTTGACTCCCACCTCAGCACTCATATTAACCCTGCTGTAACATTAAACGATACTGATGCATGTACCCTTTCGAACTGCTCTGACGAAACTCACCAGCATGCACTCAAAAATGGAGTTACAATGTTTCAGTGTGAATGGAATTCCTGTAACTTCAAGGCCGAAAACTTTAACGACTTTACTAGCCATGTTCGTCAAAATCATGTTTTAAGTACCTTGGAGGCTGCTGGAACTGGTATGGATACTACTACTAATAGTACTAATAGTACTAATAGTACTACCAACAAAAGCAAGCCCCCCTTTCCACTTTATCCAATACCTGCATCTGGACTAACAGAGTCCCACCCTATCGATGTTACATCCTGCACTGAGAATACAAAAGACAAGTCGTATTTTGAGGACAATGTTACTGCCGATCATGCTGAAGCGATTGCACATGTAAAGTCTGAGTTTCGACGCAAGCTCAATTTCCGGAGACCTTGTTCCGATACAGATGAAGACAATAACGGACCGCCTGTGTGCAGATGGCTCTGTGAAGACCCTGAAACGGGCCAAACGCATGAATGCGGTGAGACTTTTGCGGACCCGGCGGCATTAACTGCCCATGTATCTGAGGTTCATGTCGGATTTCGCAAGAGCCAGTATGTGTGCCAATGGGCTGGATGTTCACGGCACTCACGACCCTTTGCACAACGCCAAAAGATGACGCGCCATATGCAAACGCACACAAAAAACAAGCCATATCGGTGTAACATTTGTGGCAATTGTTTTGCAGAAGATGCAGTGCTACGCCAACATATGCGTATTCATTCAGGCGAAAAGCCATTTGAGTGTAAAGTATGTGGAAAGAAGTTCACGGCATCTACCGCACTTTCGGTTCACTTGCGCACGCACACTGGCGAAAAACCACTTATGTGCAAATGGCCCGGGTGCGGTAAGCGTTTTTCAGAATCGTCAAACCTCACAAAGCACATGAAAAGTATGTTTTATTATTATTATTATTTTTTTTTTTTAAAAAAAAAAATCACAACTAACAAAAGTTTTTAGCTCATATGGCAGACCGACCGTTTGCTTGTTCGGTTGAGGGTTGTGGGAAACGATTTGGTAGAAATGACCAGCTACAACGTCACCTCAAAACACACGAGAAACGTTTAAAAAAGGAGTTGGCTTCAGCCGCTGCGCCGCACTCTGACTCTCTGTAATGCTCCATGCTCCATGTTTCTTTTTTATTTATTCTTTCATAAAAACTTATGTATGGCATATCAATTGTATTTATTTATTGATTTATTTATTTATTTATTTATTACTATTACAATAATTCTTTTATTATTGGCGATAAAGAATAATCTCACTTTGCTTAAAGTATCTGCGTGCGTCTTCATCAATTAAAACAAGCGACAAGAATGTGCGGGTGGAAAACTTTTTGTTAACGTCGCGGAAAGTTGGCGTAAGATCAAACCCACCCAAAAATAAGCGGATTGGTATAGTTTCTCCACGGACAGGCGCACCATCCATTATCTCAAAACGCACAAGCGTTTCCGACTCTGTGAGCTGACTTGGCGGGGTACCAACTGTTTCGCGTCGAATAATGGACAGCTCCATATGTTTGATTTTAAGACGTACCAGCAAAAAGTAAATGCGTCCTACAATGACGTCCTTGAGATGATATCGCGACTTTGAATACTCAAACTCAATGTGCAGACAGTCTTCAATACCCACATCCATTCTGATTGACGACACTGTGTCTGGAGTGTTGCGGAAGCTATAGACCCAAAGATCCTTGTCGCGAATAACGTCAGCCATTCGTCGAAACACGGTCACTCGAATGTAGTATCGGAGCTTTACGTTGATACCATTATATGACTCGTACTGCTTCTCCACATTTTTAAATTCAAAGTCAAATGTTTCTGGATGGCGCAGTTCTGCTGGTGCTGCTAGCTCTTGGCCAAGTGATAAAAAGTCGTCATGGCTTCCCCGGTCATTGGGCATTTCTGAAATTTGGGCATTAATATTGATCTCTTTCACAAACCTATCTGTTCAACTTAAACATTAAGCAAAATGCTCCAAAATATTAACTCACCTATGCTGCCAATAAATTGCACTTTAATGCCTGTGTGCTCCAGCTTCTTTCCATCACGCGGTCTAATAGTTACAGTGCCCTTGACTGTTTCGCCGTCCAGGTAAAGTGGGTATCTCTCGCGTCGTCCCTTGTCGGTTTTTATGTCCACATGCTCGCGCTTGTCTTCACCTGCTAATCGAATCTCGATATCTAACGGATGTTTGAAAAAAAGAGACATTGGTATAATAATTTATGATAATAATTATAATATAAGACGCGAAATAGTATAATTTCTAATAATAATAATAATAATAATAAAAAAAACAGTTGAGAAAATTATTGTCAAAATAGGCTGGTCTCTTTTTTTTCAAGCCAAGTAATATACAGGTAAGGTGGAGGCGACAAGATAAACCAGCATTACGTTGTAATACGATAGTAAGGGTTCTGTAACAAACTCAATTGTAACATAATTATGTCAATTATATGTCATCATTAGTAATATATACATTTCCTTGAATAACCGAAGTAACGCTTTAAATGATTGATACCTAAACTAAACTCCTCTCCTACGCCGCAATGCCTTTTTGATTTACTCCCCCACATAATATCAACACCTAGTTGTTTCCTCCCCGCGTAACATTGCATCTAACAGTAACAAATTTAGTAGCAGCTCATAGCCTAAACCGAAGCTCTGCGAACTCTAGGACTCCGGCTATTGAAGCCATACATTGATGCTGATAAGAAATTTAAAAAAAAAACTTTTCCGGGCCCTAGATTCTCTCCACCTTGTCAAAAATCTCATTGAAAAAACACCTTGAATAACCGAACATGCTCCTCAATTTTCACATCAATCTCCATTACCGAGAATACTATTTTGTTTTTTAACAAATTTATATAAATCGCAAGAAATCCACATCTCTGTTTTTTTAATAAACTTTACTATTTGTTTTCTCTTTCTTCTTTTTCTTTTCACATTTTACCAACAATCACCAAACTTCTCTTTACAAAAAAAAAAAAAAAAAAAAACAATGCTCTCGTCCAGATTTCTAACGCGCGTTACCCCGCGATTAAAAACATTAGCAAGGAATTTCCACTATACGCCACTTGCATTTAAAGTCAAACCATTTCTACTGGCCGATATTGGTGAAGGTAACCATATAACACACCTAAGTATTATATTCAATCTTGTCTAACAATGTTTTTAGGCATCAAGGAATGCGAAGTTATTCAGTGGTTTGTCCAGCCCGGTGCTCGAATCGAAGAATTCGAACCAATATGCGAGGTTCAAAGTGATAAAGCGTCGGTCGAAATTACTTCTAGATACAATGGTGTGATTAAACAACTTCACTATGATGTGGGCCAAATGGCTCTGGTGGGCAAAGTATGCATAAAGATCAATTTTGTAATAAGAGGGTATTAACAATTTTTTTTTAGCCATTGATCGATATCGATGTAGAGGAAGAAGGGGCAAATGAAGATTCAACTGTTGTGGAGCAGGAAAGTCAAGAAGCTAAAGAACCCGTTGAGCCTGTGGTTTCTCAAGCTACTCATACTCCCTCCAATAGCCTGCATAAACAAACAGGAAAGTTTGCTACTCTTGCTACCCCAGCGGTGCGCAGATTAACCAAAGAGCTTGGAATCGACATTAGTTATATCCCAGGAACAGGCAAAGATGGCAGGGTGCTTAAGGAGGACGTTATCACATTCCATGCTAATGGAAACAGGACCCCTTCTCCAGAAAAAAGTCAAGAAAAGACAGGGGTGACAGCAGAAACACCACCTCCTTTGGCACCAGTTGCACCACAGTTAGAAGAGCAGACTCTGCCACTAACGCCTGTACAGTCGCAAATGTTCAAGGCTATGACTAACTCCTTGGCCATCCCTCATTTCTTATATACCGAAGAAGTACAAATTGATGGGTTGACGGGTATGCGGGCTAAGATCAACAAGCTTCTTAAAAAGCGTGTCTTTGGTGAAAATACTCCTGATAAGATATCCTACATGCCCTTTTTTATCAAAGCCATGTCTATTGCTCTGAAAGAATTCCCCATTGTAAACTCGAGAGTTACATTTGATTCTGTTTCCGGGAAGCCTTTACTTGTGCACCGTCCCTTTCATAACATTGGAGTGGCCATGGATACCCCGTCTGGTCTTATTGTGCCCAATATTAAAAATGTTCAAGATCTTTCTGTCTTAGAAATTGCCGCAGAGCTTAACAGATTACAAGCGCTGGGCGCTACTGGTAAGTTTGCAGCTTCAGACCTTCAAGGAAGCACAATTTCAATTTCCAACATTGGAAACGTGGGCGGGACATATCTCATGCCGGTAATTGTTGATTCCCAGGTTGCTATTGTAGGAATTGGCAAAGCCAGAGTTATTCCATCATTTGATGACAAGATGCAAATCATTCCTAAGCAGGTCATCAATACATCTTGGAGCGGGGATCACAGAGTTCTTGACGGAATGACAATGGCTAGAATGGCAGATAGATTTAAGCAGCTACTGGAAGATCCAGAATTGATGATTGTCAATATTAGATAAATTTGGACATGAAAAGAAAAATAAATTGAAAAATAATTAAAAATAAATGTTAAATTACAATTTGAAAAAAACAGGTGATTTTGCTTAGGTATAAAAAGCTTGAAATTTTTTTTAATTTTCCCTTGACGGTATGTCGCATTGTTGCATGGAGCAGACCGCCTTTTCACCTGGGTGTTCTAGTGTGTCTTTTCCTGGAAGCAGAACCCTAAACACAGTGTATATAATGGGGTTAGGGCCGCGGAATATGCCTAGCAAACAGTGATGTATTGTTTAAGAAGAAGGAATCTATTTATTCCATGCGCTACTTGGCTTGTCATTCAACTTAGACCAAACCGAATTATTTAACTAATCTCTATTTGTTATATCTTGTGACACGTCTAAGCACTGTCTATTTACTTGCCCATCGATCCTAGTATAAGTTTATTGACAGTTCAACAAGACATAGTTCCGATGCCACTAACGGGCCACACTAGACATCTCACCCTCTCCCCAAGCTTATTCCCTCAGTTCATATGGTTATATTTATTCTAGTCGAGGTCTACCTTTGCCATAACCTCTATTTATACCTATAACTTCAACATATATTTGTTACAACACGCTTTGGATCAACTAACTGTATACATTCAACTACTATTGCTAGGATACCATTGGTCATGGTATGAGTCATGTATATTGAAATTTTTGGTGAATCAACATCGGAATAACTCTAAAGTTTCTTTTTTTCAATTGTCTCATTTCTTTTTCACCAAATTTTTTTATTATATTTTGGGACAAGTTGGTACACGAGTCACGCGTCTTTTTTTTTTTTCAAAAAAAGAAAAAAGAAAAAAATTTATCCGAAATGGCTTTACGGCCTGGCACCTTCTTATTTGTTTTTCCTGTTCAAAAATTTTTCTCAAGTATCCGTATTTCTGTTATGCTAGCAGAATTTTCAATGCTCTTAAGCCTTCTATAAAGAAATTTGCCACATCGAGTTTCTGGGAAGGAACCAATTTCATTTTCCCTACTAAGCCCCTTTTTTCTAGCTTCTTTTTTGATTTAATACGCAAAAGGATATGACTATTTTTCTTTGGAAGAGGTTCTATGAGATTTCTTAAAATGTTAAAATAAAATCATGTAGCATTTTCTATTCCTATGTATTATATTAACTTGTTATTAATTTAAAAAAAAATTAAAATTAAAAAAAAAAAGCATTTAACTGCCTAAATACTACTACTTTCTACAATGTGGTAGCATACGAAGCTTAAAACGTTGATCAAAATCAGTTTAAGACTAAAAAAATTATTGATCTAAAAAATTTTTCCATAAAAACACTACTAAGTTTTTGAGGACGTTGTAAGTTTTTTTTTTTTTCATTTCCAATATTAATAAAATTATATTCAATTTTTCTTAATTTTTCTTAATTTTTTGCAAATATTGAGTTTTTTAGAGTCAATCGTAATCATTACCTATTGTATCCCAAAAAAAGGAAAAAAAATATTTATACTGCATTGCTCTCGAGCAAACAAGTATGAAAAAAAATTTTTTTTTCTGTTAGTATTCTTCTTCTTTTTTTTCTTCGATGTACCCACCTCAATTGGATTGCTGCAAACTAACTATATGGCAAAGAAAAATACCTAGAAATGGAAAAATGATGGTGCAATTTTCTTTTATTATATTAAAAACAAAATTGGCTAGTTTGATTAATTGAAGGAATAATCGCCTTGAAATATATGATCCGAGCTGATGGATCTTTAACAAGGACATATCATCGTTTTCAATTCTAAAAACACAAATGAAACTTTTATTCTTAGCTATTGAGTTCACAAAGAATCCAGAATTAAGGATTTAGGGTCGTGACCCCTGATTCAGCATTGGAAGGTTACAGCATCAAAAATAAAAAAGAGAGTATGTAATGCCACTCTCGAATCACCCTGTGGCCGTCAGCTGCTCGTATTTTACGGTACTAATATCTATATTAATATATAACTGGAAGGAATTCCGGTAATACTGATGTAAAGTTATAAAAATTGAATGAAAACTTTGAAAACTGTTTATTTTAATTAAAAGACATAGTTTAAGACGGACACGTTTATAAATTTTGTAATCTGTATATTTTGGTGTATGAAAAAAAAAAAAAAGCATGACGTTGTCTGCAGAAATATTGATTTAACAGCAAGTTGAATAACATAATTTTTTTTTCTTCAATTTTGATATTATTGAAAGTCTGCAAACTTTTTTTTTATTTTCGTCTAATAATTGGATTATCTTTGTCACTTAAAGAAAAGTAGAGTTGTAGAACAATGTATACTAGATTGGACAATCTCTTCTAGGTAATTATTTTGGGGCGGAACTTGGATCAAGGTTAAAATTTCGGAAACATTAAGATAATTATTAATGTTCTAAATAGTTAGTTAATATGTAATCATTAATCATTATGAATAAATTTTCTTAGAGTAATATAGGAAAGAAAAATATGCCTTCTGGAAAAATAAATAACCACAACAAATGAGAGTTAATAAATGGTTAAACTCATCAAATTTTTTGTGTACAAAACTTAACAATGTGAATTGAATTTTGTTTGAATTCAAAAAAAAATTAAAATCAGAAAAAAAGGCTTTCAAAATGTATAAAAGAAAAAGGTTTCTACAATAAAGTATAAAACCGTCACTCCAGGAAAATGAACCCAAATGTAGAAATAGCTCATTTTTGGTACCGAGGTTAAAAATCGAGGTTTAGGCAATGTGTAATCCTTTTGTAAATTTTCTTCCTATCTAATGTATAGCTTGACTTTTTAAACCTTGATTATCATTTTTTTTTAAAAAATTTGTTTATTAAGAAGAAAGGGAAATGGTTTGGTTTCTCGGTGGATCATGTTCCAGTTTGAACTAAGATACAAATAAAATATTATAAAAATTACAACAAACTTTTTAAAACATCAACTCTAACAAAGAAATTTAATTAAATACTCTCATAATATTTTTTTTTACAAACTCCTTAAATCTTTACAATTCATATAAATGATTGAGTTAAAAAATACAAATAAAAATAAAAATAATCAAAAATATTATGGTATATGAATTGTAAGTTGAGTAGGCATCCTGGCTTTACATTTATTCTAGAATTACTGTAAAAGCAGGGATATATAGCACATGAAAATGGTCAGTTGCACACTTTTAATTGTTTGATTTTTTCATACTGCATTCTAACTTTTTTTTTATTTTCCTATATATGTTTCTCAAGGTGGTAAAAGGTATAATATATCAGGGGTGTTTCAATTATTGTGATTTTATTATCAATCATTTTACAACTGAATTAATTTCCAATAATAGTCTTTGTAACGATAGCATTACCATAAATTTCACTTGAAAATAAAGTTGAAGCAGTGTAGGAAAGAAGAAAAAAATAAATACCAAAGTTAAAGAAAGAATTTTACAAAAAATTCTTTAATTTTTATTTTTATTTTTATTTTTATTGGAAACAACGACAAACAGTGTATAAATATATTTTTTCTTGGTCGCTATTTCAAAGAGTTTTGCCTTGTTCTGCTTTTTGAGAGCTACTTTGTGGAATTTTTTTTGAAAGCCCTTTCATTTAGGTGTAACATTGATGTATCATTATTTGTAGTACGTTTAATATCATTGAGTGAGCATATTTTAAATTGAAATTATTGAAATTATTGAAATTATTTTGGATACAAAAATTTAAAAAATTTTTAAAAAAAATTTTACCTAATTGATATGAGAAATTTCATCTTGGGTTGAGTTAAATATAACGTAATTTTGAAATTAACTGATATGATTAGAGGTCGATGATATTTTGGATATATTTACAATTTTTTCGAATTTATTTTATTTTTTTTTTTTTCAAAGTTGTCACTTAAAAAAATACAGAACTCAAATATATATCACCTTTAGTAAACCTTTATCATTAATTATGGGTATCTATAGCAACCCAAATTTTGATTATCACCAATGAATTCTTTATCATGAAAGGTTGCTAATTCAAACTTTTCCATTTTCATCTTACAAGGGCTCCTTTTTAAAATAAAAAAGCAAATTTAATTAATTGAAATTGAAAATAAAGAATAATGCTTAATTTATAAGTTTAAAATTTATTAAACTAGTTGGTATTATGTCAGCAAGTTATTTCGGTTTCTTTTTTCTCGGAGTATATTGATATCTCAGAGCCAGAGACGCCAAATAAAAAAAAAACACCTCGTCAGGTTACCCCACAATCAATATTTAGCGCCTTTGGCAAGATATATATGAAGATATTATTCTTTTTAAAATTAACTTATAATTATAAATGAAATAAGCCATTAATATTATTTCAATAAATATATATATATATATATATATATATATGACTTGGTTTAAGGTATTTCTTCCCTAGAATAGGTAGTGGATCTGTGGGTGGAATGCTGGCTAGCCCTATTAAGACAATCCAAAATAAAGAAAGAAAGAATTCAAGCAAGGCTAAGTACCTGGACATTAACAGTACATAGTAAGTTCTCCTAAAATAAACTTTTGTTATTTTTTTGCCGATTTTAAAAAAAAGAAAAATAAAAAAAAAAATAAAATAAAGGTTGATAGTAAGCAGTTTTATCAAATTAATTTATTATATTTATCTTGCTAAACCTATGTCTAATGCCTGGAAATTTTTATTTTAAAAAAACAAAAAAGTATTTCGTCATAATAATAGCAATCTAATTTGTCGATCTCCATTTTGTTTCCTTTTTTTTTTTGGTGTTTTTATTTTTAATTTTGTAATTTTTATTGATAATAAATGTAGCCTATTGACTACCATCGTATCTTTATAGACGCGTGTTCTGGAACGTTATTAAAAAAAAATTACCCTTTTGTATGCTTTTAAGCTATCCTTTAAAGGCTTATAAGGGAATAAGATATCACAAATAAATGCGTATCTAACTCGATTTGATGCAGAAGTATCCCTTCATGTACTATCACAGGGTCAAGTCCATAATAAAGTATGTAGACTTTTAGGTTGGTATTACACAT